AGATAGATATCAACCATATTTGACTGGAAGCATCCCTAGGTGGTGGGGATTCAAAATTGTACAAATGGTGGGGCTGACCCCCCAGGGGGCTGAGGGCTGGGCCAAAAGGGGGCAATTTGGCTATACTGCTATAAACGACTTCTTCCGTAGAACTATACCATGGATATTGATCATATTTGGTCGGAAGCATTCATGGGAGGCAGGGATTCAAAATTGTACAAATGGTGGGGCTGACCCCCCGGGCTAAGGGGTGGGGCCAAAAAAAATAATTACTTTGAAATGGTTGAGATCCCCACCATATAACCATATATACAATTGCTGAGTATAAAGAGAGGAATGCACATTTGCTTCTAGGATGGCCCTAGAGTCTGGCCCCACCCTTGGAGACTTAACCCCTGGGTCATAACTTTGAAACGGTTAAGATCCCCAACCCAAAACTATATATACAAATGCTGGGCAAAAAGAGACAAATACAGTCATGATATTAGAATTGATCCTAGGGTCTGGCCACAATCCTAGGGACCTAGTTTCTGAGTCACAGCTTGGAAACAGTTGAGATCCCTACCCCATAACCATACATAAAATTGCTGGGCATAAAAAATCAAATACAGATATGCTACAAGGATTGGCCTTGGGGTCTGGCATATTCCCTTGGATCTCATTTGGAGAATATTTTGCCATAATTGCTTTGATATCCAGGTGAGCGATACAGGCCCTCTAGGCCTCTTGTTTTCTCTGTGTAAGACTATTTTTTAATGTTTTAAAGCTATTTTTTGATGTTTTCTGAAGACAGTTTACCCCTTGTAAACTGTCTTCAGAAAACATCAGAAAATAGCCTTAAAACATTAAAAATAGGCATACACAGAAAATAACAAAAATTGCAGGTGATATATGAGGGATAAACTTATTGAATATATTATCAGAGAAGTGAAGTACACTTGATCTGTTGTTACAGTCCATGAAGGAACCCTGGTCCACGCCCTGTCCATGCTGTCATTGTGGTGTGCCAAATTCTACACCAGTGTGCCCGACAAACTCATGGAATGGTTCAAGGTAACATACCACAACAATGTTTTAAACACTTGCAGTGTTAGAGTTTGTATCAGCCTTAAATCTGGTTTAGCTACCAGGTAAACTTGCAGTGGTAGAGTTTGTACTTGCTTTAAATCTGGTTTAGCTAAATAAATTTGACCCACAAAATTGAAGGTAAATTATACTGTCACACAAATTGATACATTTTTCAGATTAAAATCGTGGATTTTTTAAATGATGCTGAATTGAAATTAATGTATACTTTTGTAAATAAGTACATTTGAATATATTGCAATTACAGAAAGGTGTAACGCTCAAATCCTCCACATCTAGTGTCAGAAACGCCTACCTTCAGTGTATGAATACTGCTTTCCATGGTAAGTGAATGGAATTATCTTCACTTGAAGATTAAATTTTGATCATCTTTTTACCTGTTTCTCTTGTGATTTCAACTTGTAACATGCCATAGCGGAACCTGTGTTCCACAAATTCAGAAAAATATAGTGGCTCATACATCTTTGTTGTTATATCACAAAGTATTTGATAAAAAGCTTTGCACTCATCTTCATTTGAGCTTGCCTGAAAATTTGACACTCAAAATGTACTTCGTCTAATCTTGTGTAACTTTATTTTTTGAATTGATGGTTATTATGACTTCTGTTCAGCTGATGAGACATTGATGAAATTCAAGAAACCAGAAAATCAATTATCAGTTATTCAGTAATAATTCAGTAGTAAATAGCATGATTGCATCTTCGCTAGCCAAGTGTTCGCTTCGTATACACTCCACTTACCCTTGGCGGATATAGCTGTATTAACCAAGCCTTCAAATTTTCGTGCGGTGCCAATCGCTCGCATCCAAAGAAATCGCGTCTTATATATAGCGCTGTTGACGAAGGAAAACATTAATGGCGACGCCCTGTACGGAAGCACTTTGTCGTTTATGTCAGGGTGTTTTGCCCAAAAAAAATAGGCGCACAATCTTTTGGGAAACTTCTGGAGTGTTAAATCAGTTGGTGGAAATCTTTGACTACGTGCCACATGTAAATGATGACCTGGGAAAATATGTGTGCTGCCTTTGGATTGTTTCCATATTGCTCTGTAGAGTGTGTATGTAACGGTCATTCTGATTGGTTGAAAGTTTATTGGGAGAAGAACGATAACTCGGTATATCTGCTAGGTGGCAGTGGAGGGAATTATGAAAACACGTCTATATCCGCCAAGGGTTAGTGGAGTGTATAAGAAGCGAAGATGGCATGATTATAGAATCTTAAAAAGTTCTCAAATATAACCATGATAGATTGGTTAACTGCAAAGAGAGGGCATCTTCAATACAATTTGTGCACCCTGCTTTCGTTTTAGGTGATACGCTGCCCCAGGCAGTAGACATGGTACCACTACTGATACAAACAATTGAGAAGGCAAACAGCCAACCAAGTCAGATCCCGCTCGTCACCGAGGCTGTTTCAGCAGCGTGCATCCTTGCCAAGATTTCATTGGTCGATATTCAAACAGGTAAACCTTCTTTGTTTTTATCTCTCAAAACTTTTTTTTTTGTTTTTGTTCCAAAGTATGAATCATAATTTTTGAATTTTAGGAATTACATAATAATGTGTCAATTTTATTAAATGTGTTAAAATCTTAATTTTAGTTTCGGATGATATACAGTTATTGACACCCTTGCAGGGCAGCATGTTTTTTGTTGGACCCAAAGCTTGAACTGTTGTTGCTTCAAAAGATCTTTTATTGTGGTTTGTTAATGCTGGTTTTCAAACTGAACTATAATTTGATTTGTAACAAAATACGATATTATTTAGGTAAAATATGTTGAAATTTGATTGACAGAGAACAAGCTAGGACCATTCTGGTCTACAGTGCTGGACAGTCAGAAACAGCTGTTCCTAAATGACCGCTACCTGCAGCAGGCAAACGAAGAAGGTGGGTTTTGTTTCAATTGGTTTGTTTGTGTTTTGAGTCCCATTAACAGCTATGGTCATTTAAGGACATGCAAGGTTGTGGAAGTAGAGGAAAGCCACCTGTAGAAAAACCACTGACCTGCGGCCAGTACCTGAGTTTATGAAATACATGTATAGCAATATCTTATCCCTTCGATGCTGTACTGGCAAATGCAATCATTGCAACACATAAGTTGTGGGTGAGTATTAAACTAGTAAATGTCCTTAAGCATTAACCCTTTCACCCCCTAGGTAACTTTAGTAGACTCTACCACACATTGATCTGGATGAGTCCATTATGGTCTACAGTGGTGAAAGGGTTAATTAAATATGTTCTGAAGTTCCCGATTGAATACCCAGAGTAACATATTTCTCCCAGGAAGGGAGATGTTTTTTGCAGAATTTAAAAATAAGATTAAAATGGACAATGACTAGACAGTTTAAGTTGGCCTATGAAGTTGGGTGTTGGTGATTATTAGAATCAAAAACAAAAAGATTTGTCTGATCAGCTGTGAAATGAAAGCACTAGTTGTATTGTATGCTTCATATATCCTTTCTCTTGTTCATGTCAGCGTTTTTTTTGTGTTTATTTTCCAGCTCTACCAAGTCTTGTTGCCTTAGCAGAAAAGCTGATCTTGGAATATCCTCAGAAAATGACAGAAAAAGTATCAAAGTAAGCAAAATCTTTATTTCATTTTCGCGACAGTTTGTGTACGTATGTATTTTAAAAGACTACCAGTTTAACAGATATTTTTATGTCTGCACCATTTTGTGGCAGTGGGTATAGTTTTACCCACATGTCCGTCTCGTCATGCTGCCGTTCATTGTTATGACTCAACAAACTTAATTTCTTATCAGATTTTCATGCGAGTTTATACAAAGATAAGGTATGAGAATACCTCTGATTAAGTCGCTGATGAGGGTTCAAAGGTCAATGCCAGGGTCACTGTTACTATTTATAGGACAGCCACATGGCCAAGGGGGGGNAGATGTTTTCTAGTTTATCTGAAAAATCACTTATTAACCCTTCCACCCCTATGTAACTTTAATAGACTCTACCATGCATTGATCTGGATAAGTCCATTAAGGTCTACAGTGGTGAAAAGGTTAAGGCAGATCTTTAGTACAAAGGACCAGGGGCTTTAAGGGTAATTTTTGGCCTCATTGGCGAATAAATGAAGTCATTCGTCAACTGGTTTAGGAGATATTGTATTACAAAGAGAGTAATAAAACCTGCATGTTCATTCGTAGAAAGGAATTTTTGTTTGTCACATGCGGAGGCTTTCATTACTGCATGCTAACTGTAAAAAAACACATACTTTGGCAATTTCTGCATAGCAATGCAATTTCGTTGCTATGGTAGGATATCTATGCATGCGCGTTGGAAAAAATCTGCACCAAGAAAGATAGCTATAATAGATAAATATGATGTTTATAACAGAAATCGGTAAATAAATTAAATTCAAGTTGAATTTTTTTACTTTTTATGAGGCCAAAAATGACCCATAATGCCCCAATCCTTCAAGGGTTGATATGTGAGAGTGTGTTTTTGGTTTTGTTGTTGGGAGTATGAGTGTACCTATGTGACCTATGGTGATGGCTTATATGTGTCATGTTACAGGCCCTACTATAAAGCCATTGTACATTGTCTGATGCACAAGTCCTGGGAAGTGAGGAAAGCTACTGCTGCGTCTGTCAAACGTCTGCTTGGCCTATTGGGGAGTACAGCTATATCATTGGCTCTCCTTGACCAGCTCAACGTCTTCCTAGCCAATCACAAGGTAAGTAACATGATTTACTGGTCTCCCTCGCCAATCGCAAGGTAATAACATGATTTACTGGTCTTCCTCATTTGGTTTTCTAAATAAAAGTTGATTTTATCGTGATTTATTGTAAAATATCCATAATTACTTAGTCTTCACAAATATTTAGTGATGAATTTAAGAATGTTGGTATGAAATGCCTTGCCACGGTACCATGTTGTTTATATTAGTGACCATCAAATGCAAAATCTTGCAAGTAATTTGAAGAAAAATAAATATCACATGATGAAAAATGTGTAATTTGCACCTATCAAATCTTTCTTAAAAACTGATGGGTTTGAATTTAATGATAATTATTATGATATTATTGTGTTGTCCGTACATGACAATGGAACGGAAAGAGTTTTTCTTCTCTCGCTGTCTCTCTCTCTCTCCCTATGTTTATTTCCCCATGTTGAATTCAATCTCTCCATACATGGCAAGTAACTGGTAGTGTAAACTTGATGCAAATCTAAACAGAAATCAAACTACCAGGTACCCATATATATCCACTAACTACCAAGTGCCCATATCTATCCACTAACTACCAGGTACTCATATCTATCATCTAACTACCAGAGACCCATATCTATCATCGAACTACCGGGTACCTATATATATCCACTAACTACCGGGTACCCATATCTATCATCTAACTACCAGGTACTCATATCTATCATCTAACTACCAGGTACCCATATCTATCATCTAACTACCGGGTACCTATATATATCCACTAACTACCGGGTACCCCAATCTGATTAAAATCATCTGTTACATGGCTTCGTTAACTTCGTACATCGTTCAGGCGTAGCCTTGTAACAGATGATTTTAATCAGATTGCCGGGTACCCATATCTATCCACTAACTACCAGGTACCCATATCTATCCACTAACTACCAGGTACCCATATCTATCCACCTAACTACCAGGTACCCATATCTATCCACTAACTACCAGATACCCATATCTATCATCTAACTACCGGGTACCCATATATATCCACTAACTACCGGGTACCCATATCTATCCACTAACTACCTGGTACCCATATCTATCCACTGAACTACCAGGTACCCATATCTATCCACTAACTACCTGGTACCCATATCTATCCACTAACTACCGGGTACCCATATCTATCCACTAACTACCAGGTACCCATATCTATCCACTTAACTACCTGGTACCCATATCTATCCACTAACTACCGGGTACCCATATCTATCATCTAACTACCAGGTACCCATATCTATCCACTTAACTACCTGGTACCCATATCTATCCACTAACTACCAGGTACCCATATCTATCATCTAACTACCGGGTACCCATATATATCCACTAACTACCGGGTACCCCAATCTGATTAAAATCATCTGTTACATGGCTTCGTTAACTTCGTACTACGCCTGAACGATGTTCAGGCGGAGCCTTGTAACAGATGATTTTAATCAGATTGCCGGGTACCCATATCTATCCACTTACTACCAGGTACCCCTATCTATCCACCTAACTACAGGTACCCATATCTATCCACTAACTACCAAATACCCATATCTATCATCTAACTACCGGGTACCCATATATATCCACTAACTACCGGGTACCCATATCTATCCACCAACCACCAGGTACCCATATCTATCCACTAACCACCGGGTACCCATTTCTATCCACCAACCACCAGGTACCCATTTCTATCCACCAACCACCAGGTACCCATATCTATCCACTAACTACCATGTACCCATATCTATCCACCAACTACCAGGTACCCATATCTATCCACTAACCACCAGGAACCCATATCTATCCACTAACTACCAGGTACCCAAATCTATCCACCAACCACCAGGTACCCATATCTATCCACTAACTACCAAGTACCCATATCTATCAACTAACTACCAGGTACCCATATCTATCCACCAACTACCAAGTACCCATATCTATCCACTCACTACCAGGTACCCATATCTATCCACCAACTACCAAGTACCCATATCTATCCACTCACTACCAGGTACCCATATCTATCCACTAACCACCAGGAACCCATATCTATCCACTAACTACCAGGTACCCAGATCTATCCACCAACTACCAGGTACCTATATCTATCCACTAACTACCAGGTCCCCATATCTATCCACTAACTACCTGGTACCCATATCTATCATCTAACTACCAGGTACCCATATCTATCCACTAACCACCAGGTACCCATATCTAGCCACTGTGATTGACTCCTGCCTATTTTCTCCACTTAACTACCAGGTACCCATATCTATCCACTCACCACCAGGTACCCATATCTATCCACTAACTACCGGGTACCCATATCTATCATCTAACTACCGGGTACCCATATATATCCACTAACTACCAGGTACCCATATCTATCCCCTAACTACCAGGTACCCATATCTATCCACTTAACAACCTGGTACCCATATCTATCCACTAACTACCAGGTACCTATATCTATCCACTAACTACCAGGTCCCCATATCTATCCACTAACTACCTGGTACCCATATCTATCCATTAACTACCAGGTACCCATATCTATCCACTAACTCCCAGGTACCCATATCTATCCACTAACCACCAGGTACCCATATCTATCCACAAACTACCGGGTACCCATATCTATCCACTAACCACCAGGTACCCATATCTATCCACTAACTACCAGGTACCCATATCTATCCACCAACTACCAGGTACCTATATCTATCCACTAACTACCAGGTACCCATATCTATCCACTAACTACCAGGTACCCATATCTATCCACTAACCACCAGGTACCCATATCTAGCCACTGTGATTGACTCCTGCCTATTTTCTTTACCTAGTTCATTGACCCTGATACTCTGGACGATGAGAAGGAGAATTACGACCCCAATAAGTATGTGTCACCAACAAAAGTTGCTCGAGCACTTGTGACCTTGACATCTGTAGAGAAGGTTGACCTTAAGGACGCAGAAGCTATCGCCATGGCAACCATTTTATCATCACACCATCCCAGCATAGGTAACTACATAGGTCTTTTTGTGATTGTTCATTCTGTGGCAAATTTTAAGAAAAATAGATGACCTAACATTTGATATTACCTTGTTATTAAATATAAACATTGTAATTTACATTGTTTTGTTTCCATGGCAATTCCAATTTTTTCAAACCTGACACATTTTCCCCTTTGAAAGGTATATGTATACTGCTATAACAGAATTGAACAAAAGTCATTGGTAATTTTAAATGTTAAGAATGGGATTTGCGTGAAAATCAGGAGTTTCCCCTCCATGATATGGAGAGCCGGCAAGTATGAAATGCTGTAATATTGTACGCAATGAAAACATCCCAATTTGGTCAAAGATACCACGTTTTGCCCAGTGATATAGAGTGCTATGTGGTATCCTAATAAAATGCTGTTATGATTTCAGTGTATGCCAACGAGTCTGCATGGACTGATATCATGTACTTCATCAAACTCGACGCCCGTAACTTTATCTCCAAACATCTGGACACCCTACTGGCTATGGTGAAGACAGGAAAGGCGCTAGACAAGGTAAGACCATAGAACAAAGATAAGCTCTCATTGTACCATAGAAACATACTGTCACTCTTATGTGTGGTCCACTGGGGGATTAGTCATATGGGACATCAGGCTCCTAAAGTACGGCCTCCATGCCATTATTCTCCATGCAAACTTATCCTGGACTATAAGTAAAGTTATCAATATCTTTTCTTTTTCCATTACAGAGTTCTCAGTCGACTCTGTCTACGATGGTTCGGATCGCTCCAGACCTGGTGCTGCCGCCTATTCTCCAATACGTGAAAGAAATCCTCTGTCAGCCGGAGCTTACCACTATCACTGTGGAGGAGTACCAGATCTTCCTGTGTCCAGAAGGCGAACTCTTCAACAAGGCTCTCCAGGCTGGGTAGGAGAGACTTTGTCATTCTCAGTCCGTATAAAGGTCATGCCCTCTTCATGGCTCAGTAGGACGGACCCCATCCTCGATGTCCAGGGGTTACTCTCACTTCTGCTCTCTGCACCCCTGGTATATGTCATAGCAAAATCCAAGGTTCAGTGTGCGCCACCTTGTTGATGAGACAAGAAGAATAGTTTGATCCTTTGATGTACATCAAATGAATCATGCGGTCGCGTAACGGTAAAACTTACTGGCTTTGAAGTCAGGCGTCGCTTCTCTGTAATCTTCAAAGGACAAGTATCAGCCTAGCGATTGGTCAGGTTTATTAACCTAACACCAATCAAATAGTTAGCCGCGTGTCTTCATTTTTGCTATGATATACTCCAGGGGTGCAGGGAGCGAAATTAGCGTAAACCCTGGTGTATTGAGGATGGACAGACCCTGGCCTAAATCTTATCCCATATGAAGTTATGCATTCTGCACAGCTGAGTAAGAGTTGACCTTCTCCTGTATAATAATGATGAAATAAATGCACTAGTATTCAACCATATAGGTCATAGGTCAACAGGCATTTGCTGTAATACATTTCTTCGTAAATATCAGGTATACATGTCGCCCACGGCAGTTCATACTGGCATGACATTTAAATGAGAGACCTATCAGTTTGCAGTTATCACCAACCAACTGAAACCTTTTCTCTGATAAATACTGTATACCGAGTAATTTCCGCTGCAGTTTAATTATTGCCCTTTTCCTCCTCCGTAGTGAGCATTACAGCGAATATCTAAACAACATAACACATAGTAACTTAATGTGAGGGTCGAAATCAACACTGTCGGCCCATTGATTTTATCAGCAAATGGCGATTGTTTTATTATTGTATTTATGTCGAATTTTTTTCTCTCACAGTTTTGAGAAAAACGAAACCAAAGAAAGCAACATAAAGCGAGAAAACAAACTTTACTCTTACAAAGAACAGATGGCAGAAATAGAGCTGAGAAAGGTAAAGTAAGGAACTCCCACCGCTGTCACCAAATTCGTTCATGTGTACATGGTTGATTTTACTGTCGCAATCAGAGTTTAAATGATAATGCAGATCTGTTGTTGGATCATAAATGATTGGAGACTTTCTGATGTCTGCATGTGGGTCCAGACTACAAATGATTAGACCCCCAGCAGTACTTCGGTACTTTTGGATATCTTAGCAACACAATATTAAATTGTGTTAGTGTGTCAAATTTTAGTGCTTTCTACAGCTTGAAGTTATGTTTTTTCTAAGTGATGATCTGTAACCGTTGTTTACTCAGCTATTGACATAAAACATACATTCTTTTGATAGTTTTTAACAGATTCCACAAAAAAACAGCCTTTTGTGTTTTGTCTTATCTGGCTGCACAGGAGCACACATGTATACTTTCCTGTGTCACAGACACCCAACACTGGTTTGAAGGGTATCGGGGGGNGTACTGCAGGAAACCTAAAAATGGGTAGAAATGAATTTGTTTGGAGTCATGGGGTCTGGTAGATTTTTTAACTGCAATAGCCCTAATCTGACTTTGTGATGAATTCCAGGAACTGGACAAGAAGAAAGGAAAGACAGAGAAACCTTCTCTGAAACTGACCAAGAAACAAGAGGAACAGGTCCAGGCTTGTCTGAAGAAAGAATCCGACATTCGCAAAAAATTATCACAGGTGTGGCTTTACATTGTAGTGTTTGGATGTCAGATAGGGGAGTGATTTTTTTTTTTTTTTTTTAACATTGGAAAGTTTGGGTGCAGATGTACTTGTATATTATTGATTTTTCTTAAATGAGGTTGTTGATTTACTTTCAGCTATATTACTTGACCCATTTACTTGACAGGGTTGAATTGCAGATTTTAAAAGTAACGATGTTATTAAAGACTTTTGATATTGATGAGGAATTAGAAACGATATGTGTGCTGAAATAAACATGTATAGTGCACAGTTGCGCTGATATTTAATGTTAATATTGCACATGAGTGCTGTCGTGAACATCTCTAAACAGACCCAATTTCAAGAATGAAACCCTGCCAGTGTACTTCATCTAATCAGATGGAGGATATTGTAGGGTTAAAGGTTACATTGCCTAGCAGGGCACTCACGCAATCAAAATGGTTTTGCTCAACTGTGCTAAATATCAGTCCGTATTTTCACTGCTAAATCAACAATATCGGCAGTTGAAAAAATTACTTTTTATTCGTTTCTTCACATCAATGAATTAATCATAAGTTCGGAAATTGGTTTTGTCAAATTTGTTCACTGAACTTGGTGAAAAGATCGCGAAGTAGCCCTTCGTCAAATGTGGTGACTGTCGCAAATTTGGAGTTATTTCGACAACCGTTTTGTATATTTTAACGTAATTTTGGGGTCAGTATTGGCTGGTCGCTGTTCACGTTAGACAGATGGTCGCTAAATACAGTTAATTTACATTGTAAAAACAGTCGAGAGGAATGACAAGTGGTCGCATAAAGCAGATGGTTGTTTAATACAGATGGTCGTTTGAGCAGATTCGACTGTACACAACATGCAGTATATAGTCTTTACATGTGAAGGGTGAGATTAACACTTTGCGTACATAGATTTTATCGGAAAAAGGGTGAATATATTTAACTGGACGAAAGTTTCCCGATATACGGTAAAGCATATCTATTGTTTTTCTGTAAATTGTCTTTTTTCCCCTCGCAGTTCGACAGTGTGATCTGCTGCAGCTGCCACATCCTGGAGGCTTGTATCCAGGGTAACCAGCGGGCAGTGAGTGCCTACGTACAGGAGCTCTGTGGCTGTATGACATCTCTGTTCGTGTCGCCGCTGGCCGCACCACCAATGACCCAAGCTTTCATCCAACTGGGCACCTCATTGTTTCAGGATAAACTACTCGGTATGCAATTCGACATAATGCACAAAAAATAACACTGTTGCTGATGTATAGTTCGAGATGTGTTTGTATTGTTCGAGTCATCTTATAAATGCGTATAAACTTGCTTCCTTCCGTTAATCACGTCATGAAGTGAAGCAGCTTCATTTGTGGTCAGATTTCCTTGAAACTTCCTACAGAAGTTATGTATCAAAGTAGCTTGAGCGTGTTCATATTCAAGTGTTTTACACCAAAGATCAATCTTACCTTTACCACGATGTATAAATAAAAAATCTTGTCATTGTCGTAACACCTTCATTTGTGATTGTATTTCCATAATATTTTTTTTTAAAGATTTAGGGAGATACGCGTCTTTCAGAGTATTTGTTATGCCTCTGTCATGGTGTTACCTATGTTGGTCAGTTCCAGAGGCAAAATCAAGGCCAAGGTCATTTATTTTTAGAAATTGTCAATCAATTCAGTGTCCAACCCTGAGCTTTAAACAAAGGTGATAATGAATTAGTATCTCAGGGTTATAAGTTCAAGACCAAAGTCACCATTAATATTCATAAAATTTAGTTTATCAATAAAGCTAATTTACATGAGAGTGGGGGCATTCATATCTTACAGATATTTTCTAGACTTGCTATCAATATTTTAATGTGTATTGGTTAATATCTCCCCAAAGGTTCTCAAGTGTGTAACTCAACAGTACGCTTGCTGGACCCTGCGTGTGAGTTGGACTCTGAGTGGGCCAAAGAACCCGCCAAAGATCAAGCAACCCGTCTGGTCAGGAAACTCTATGGAATCGCATCAAAAGAGACCACGGAGTTTGGGGACACTGCTCTGTTCCCTGCAGCAACGTTCAATATTATATTTTACCTACTGAAGGCGGTGTTGAGACGGGGAGCAGTACTGGTGAAGGGAGATGACCGAACACAGGCAGAAGCCATCAAACTCACAGAACTCCATGCTAATATGAGGCAGGAGGATCAATCTGATGAGGTCAGTTACTGATGATGTCATAGATAGGTACACATGAAGTGGTGATGTCATTGATAGGTACACATGAAGTGGTGATGTCATTGATAGGTACACATGAAGTGGTGATGTCATTGATAGGAACACATGAAATGGTGATGTCATTGATAGGTACACATGAAGTGGTGATGTCATTGATAGGTACACATGAAGTGGTGATGTCATTGATAGGTACACATGAAGTGGTGATGTCATTGTAAGTTTCACTTGAAGTGAAGATTTCACCCTACAATCTTTTGTAAAACTCGTGATATTGTTGCTAGATAAATATTAAGAGATGATGTCATATATAAGAAATATCATAGAGAAGGTCTTAATATATCTGACATTTCTTAACAACAGTACAGTATAACTTGTCTGATCTGGCCCCTGTCTAGTCTGAAAGCCTGTCTATACCTGCTTGAATCATTGATCACATCATCTCCTATGTTAACCCTTTCACCACTGTAGACCATAATGGACTCATCCTGATCAATCCATGGTAGAGTCTACTAAAGTTGCATAGGGGTGGAAGGGTTAATTAATGTTTTGTCAATGCTGTCTTATCCGGACCGTATCTTCTCTGGAGTCTGGAGTCATTTTACCAATATTTCCACTCGGGTATATAAGTCATCGTTAGAACAACCCAGTTTGTTATCTGACCTTCCTGTTTTCCACAATCAGATATCCAAGCTAAAGTGCTTGTTTGGACATAGAATGTGCTGTGTTGGCATTCGTTTTAAATTATTGAAAATAATTGAGCCTTCAAATTGAATACTTAGTTTGTAAGCTGTTTACCAAGGTGAACGGGAAATGCAGCACTTGTGTCCCTGGGGAGACTGGTAAATGTATATTAGATTTAACAATATGGCTAAAACCCAAATGAAAAAAACATTTGTGCAGGCAAATATCTTCAGCTACTATAGACTTGGTTGAAAACGAGACATCTACCTTCTTTAGATTGGGTACATCTTCCCTGTCTCCTGCACACATTCACACATGCACGCATCCACAACATACATGGACGGATTGGTTTAGTGGTTAACACTTTGGCCTTCCAGGCAGGTGTCCGGGGTTCGATCCCTGAAGTCGTCGCATGCTTTGAATATCAGAGAAAGTGTTTTTCTCCTGCCCACACAACTCCAACAACCCAGGTGGAGTATAAATTGGTCTGGGGTGGATGTTGCGGTATCTGTGATTTAGCATTCAAGTGAGGTGGCACTATAAAAGATACCGTTGTAAGCACAGTCCCACTACAAACAGAACACAATACATTTCCAGCACACACGCAGGCATACACCCATAGGGAGATATTAGCCAGGTGGCATAGGACTAGTAGTTAGCACCTGATAAGGCAGCTCCTGCGAATTCCTCAAAAATTGTATAACCTTATTGTATTAATTGTATATCTATGTACTGTAAAGCGCTTTAGAGTGGCTTATGTTAGCTAAATAGGGCGCTATATCAAATGTTGTATATTATTATGGAGGCACGTCCTTAAATGACCTAAGCTGTTAATAGGACATTAAACAAAATAAAACTAAACCAAACCTCTTCAGAATGCATGCTGATTACTCCTTGTCTTCTCCAGCTAGCGTGTTTAAGTGCCTGATATTAACAGTAAATTGATATTGATTTTCAGCATGACCCAGCCTTACTTAATCACAAGGAATTGCTATCTCTCCTTGTCCATGTGATATCGACATCCATCACCAAACTCGGACAACTGGCCTCCTCATCTCTAGTGGCTGTTTGTGAGAGTTTGTCTGGTGAGGAGGGGTGCAGCAAGGCCACAGAGAAGGAAATTCGTGTTCTCCTAGAAGCTTTGAAGTCCCCTTGTGTAGCAGTGAGGGATTCCGTATTGCAGGTAGCGTGAAAGGGTGATTTATTGACATAGAAAATTACGAAAACTCTAAATCTTACATACACAGAGGATCTGAAGCAAGTTCAAGTTACTTAGGATTATCATTTTACGAACTTATATTTAAAATATAAACTTTTATATATTTAACAGCAATTATGAAACAAGTTTTTAGTCCCGTACCGGTGAAACCAGGGAGACTATAGGTTTTTGTCTTCGTCTGTCTGTCCGTCCGTTACCTTTGGTTAAGGTTGTGGTTAAAGTTTTGTAATGGCTTACCAATCGCTTAATAATGATGTAAGGATGCTGATTCTATGCATAGAGGTTCTTTAGGGGTCTAGCATTAATGCTGTGGATTGAAAATGGAAAATATATTATTTTATTTTTTTTAATTTTGACATGTTTTGAACTTAACTTTATTGGCCAAAATCTGCAGGTTAAAGTTTGGGTTAAAGTTTTGTAATGGCTCACAGTTCACTTAATAATAGTGTTAGGATGCTGATTTTATGTACACAGGTTTTTTAGAGGTCCAGCATAAATGTTGTTTAGTCTGTTGGGGGCGCCAGTAGGGGACATGTATTGATTCATCAATACCCACAGAATGCTTGTTTCAACTCTATATTAATTAATCTTGTTGGCCCGGATGTTAGCGCGGTGGGGATCTTAATGGGAGGAAACCAGAGTACCAGAAACAACCCACATGGACGGGCAGATGACCCAAACATTTTCATTTCTGATCGGGAAATCAAACCACGGCTACCTTGGTGAAGGGCGAGTGCGATATCCACTGCGCCACCCGTCCACTCTAGGATTACGTTAAGCAATTTGCATAAAATTCAGATGAAATTGAAATCCATTTCTATTGTCTTATACTAGAAAATTAAAGCATACACATTTGTTAATTTTGTGAATATTTAGACTGGACAAATAAAGAAAAGCACACCAGTTTTTTGTCATTGGTGGGAATTTGTGATGGCACCGTAAAATTCCTTGAAAAATACACGTTTATTTTAAATATCTAAGTTTTATATGTGATAGTGTAATATAACCAGCAGTATCAAGTATAGGATAACCTTGCTCCCTAACAGTGATTCTCTGGTACAGTGAAAACCTGCTTAATCCAAATCTGTAAATTTCAGAATATTTGCAGTAGTAATTTTCTGCATAAAATCATTTGATCAAATACATAGCCTTGATTGAAAGATTTCAATTTTACTTTTTCAGTTATGTGAAAAGTTATTCCTTCAAATTTGCTCTTTTTTTTAGTAAATAGGGAAAACTCAGACCTTCAAAAATAAAAACCTTAAATACAGCAATTTCGAAAATTCTTATTTAGGACATGAAAAAATTGTAATGCTGTAACAATAAAAATTTGCATTTTTTTCCTGTATTTATTTCGGAAATTTATTAACCATCAACAAGCGACAGACTTGATGTCTTTTTTTTTATAAAGTTTTCATCTGTGCCTTTGCCAATAAGATATTCCTTATTTCAAGACTTTTATGATTGTTTTATTCCAGGGCTTGATGTGCCTTGTCCCTATACTGCCTAACGTCGACGATAATCTTGAACTAGGAATCGCCATCGCACAGAGAGTGTGGGTTGTCAGCTTCGACAGTGACGACAATGTTAAAATGTTGGCTGAAAAGTATGTTCATTGATCAATATTATACTATTTTGTAAGGAAAAAAAGACTCCTAAATTTCATTTTGATGAGGTGTTGTTGACTAGATGAAAACCTCCAGGGCAAGTTGCATAAATCTTTTGAAAGGAAAATAAATTATTCATCCTTCTTGCCACATTTTGATAGTGAGAATCGTGTAGCAATTTGCAAAAACATGTTTTCTCTGTAAACTATCGGGTCTTAGCAACGTCTTTTTTTTTATTTTTTATCTTCAGTGTTTTGATTTAAATTGCAGTCAAGTAAATTATTTTATCTGTGAATGAGCCTCTGAAATTGTTTATGTATCCTTGCTTAATCACTTGTTGCTTATTTCTCTCTTCTCCATTCAAAAATCACCAAAAAATTAAATGCATTTGAAGAAGATAACAAATTTTGCTGAAAATTCATTTTGAATGAAAGCCATCAGCTATAAAATAAAAATAAAAGATTCTAACATTTTAACATCAAGGCTGATGATTGTTTTTATCTATTAAAAATGGTGGTCAAGGTAAAGTTTCTGGTACCCAAGCGTCTGATTACGAGGAATTATAAGTCCTGTATCTATAAATTAATAACATTGATCCCTGTTGTCAAGGTTACTGCAGGAGCTGACGTTAGAGGAGCCGTATGAGGATATGGCCGGCCCACTGATTGATGATGTCATTTCCACAGAGGAGGTTGTCCGTCTGTCTGCCTCCAAGGCACTGGAGAAAACACTTCAATGTCACAGCGACTATGTCACAGCAACCGTTGAGCAGCTCAAGGCCAAATACGAGGAGAAGCTTTACGTGAGTACAGCATCGGGTAGATATAAACAGCGTTAAATCGGGACAAATAGAGTCTGTCATATGTAGGTATGTGTGATATGGATATTCTACCAGAGGGTGTAAAATTTGAGTCAGACTCAAATTCTACACCCTTGGGTAGAATATCATTATCACACATACATACAGAATTGTTGACTCTTTTTTTTCCCACATAATATTGCACCACTTATCATGTGTACAAAAATAAGGCCATATTTGGAAAGAGCAGAAAAATGTATGGTACAATATAGGCATAACTCAAATTTCAAAGATCCATGCACGACCTTCAGGGCAAGCTTGTACAACAGTTCTTATGTTCTTGAAGTTGATCAGCTAGAACACTGCAACAGCCTAAACAATTGAAATTAATTCTATTTTATATTATGACTAAGAGGGCTAGAGGATATGCATCCTGACCTGGTTTACAGGGTGTGACTTTTAGCATCACTGACAACAGTGTTCTAAAAGTAATTCCATAAATATTATCATAGGCAGCCCTTTTATAAGTCCTCACTCTTCTTTTTATATTTAAAAAAAAGTGTTTTTTATTATAAAATTTGATCGAAATGTCACAGGTGCCTCCGCCCAAACTGGACGATTTTGGCCGCTTGTTGGAGTACCAGCCCGAGGAGGAGTGGCAGGCACGCAGCGGAGTGGCAGCTGCCCTTAAAGCCATGTCTCCTCTCATCCCGTCTGATCAGATCATCGAACTCTTCAGCTTTTATGTCCCTAAGGCCCTCGGAGATCGGGTACCAGAAGTCCGGAGCCACATGAGAGATGCTGCTCTGGCTGCCATTAACGATCATGGAAAGGTAGATGTGAAACTGGAACTAAATATCCAATCATTTCTTCTGGATGTCTAAAAATGTCAAAAAATGAATTCCAGCGGAGCATGGACAACACCGCACAGAATCTGGCTTATAGATGAATTTATTCCCGCCTTGTTTCTATCGAACATTATCTTAAGATATACAATGTCTCATCTCAGAACCTTATATGCAAAGAGGAAATTCTGAAATTCTTGCTTTCAGCATCTTTAACTGCAGGGAAAATGGAGTGGTATCATTATGAAATAATCCCAGTCAAATACAATCTGTATTCTAAGATTTGGACTTGTATGTATGGTACATGTTTTAAAAACTGGAAATATATATATATATATATACAGTCAAACTTCGTTGTTACAAACTTTGTGAGACAATCGGGGGGAAATCTGAAAGATCAAGACTCAAGAATGTTGTACTTTGAACATTTTGAGATCATATATATACTGCATAAGGACAAATGTGGTTGCTAAGTGAAATTACACAAAGAAATTTCATTTTAATCCATAAATATTGGATATAAAATGTAATTAGAATAATATGTTTCTTGTATTTATACTATATAGTTTGCATCTTTAGTGTTAAAATGACCCTGGGACGTTGCTATGTTCTCTTACAGGTAATTGCTTTACTTTGATACTTTGATACTTTGAGCATGAAACTTGACTCATAAAAGTCTGATTCATAAAAGGAATATCACTAGTATCATATATAAAGAAAAACGTCCAGGCTTTGTTTAACACATTGAAAATTTGAATCTTCGAAGTTTGATTTACGGAAGTCTGACAGTATGTATATGTATTCTACCCACCTAAGATTTGGGCCAGCTTGAGGTTTCCATTGCTACAATAATGTATTAATCTTTTACAGGAGAATGTAGTCTTGCTGCTACCAGTATTTGAAGAGTTTCTCGCTAATGCGCCCAACACCGCCAGTAATGACGCAGTACGACAGAGCATCGTCATCCTTATGGGTTCACTAGCCAAGCATCTGGACAAGAACAACCCCAAGATCAAACCTATAATGGCCCAGCTTATTGGTGCACTGTCTACACCGTCCCAGGAGGTAGGTTATTCCTCAAAGTATATAGAGTATTCCCTTACAGGAGTCGGAGACAGATTATTCCCAAGAAGAACATTCTTCCATACATTAAAACATATTTGCGTTATTTTGCTTCAAACTAGAATTTGAAAATGAGCAAAATGAATGACAGAAGAAGGAATAAATGCAGTTATGAAATAACAAGAGGTTAGCTATCTAGCAATGTTGTGATGATAAGCAGTAGGTTCCTTTCAGTTCAAGTAACATACAATTTGTTGCAGATGATAGCTATTGGCCTCTTTTAATGGTCTTATCAATAAAGTCTTATATGGTTATTTTCATTTGGAACTTGATATGAAGATGTTATGTTAATTGTGGAATTATAGGCCTGTTTTTTACTGTTTTTACTAAGGTACAAGAGGCAGTGGCCCATTGCTTGCCTCCCCTGGTCCAGGGAATCAAACAGGATGCTCCAGAGCTTGTTCAAAAACTGATGCAACTCCTTTTGGAGTCTGACAAATATGGAGAAAGAAGGGGAGCAGCATATGGACTTGCGGGGCTCGTCCGGGGTCTGGGGATCACTTCCCTCAAACAGCTCGAGATCATGTCCACATTGGAGGAAGCTGTCAAAGACAAGAAAAACCCACGACGACGGGAAGGTCAGTTCTGTTGAGGTCTCACAAGAATAAAGACAAAGGTTATTAAGGTATAGGGATGGTAACCCCGCAGTTAATAAGCAGGGATTGAAGTCTCGCAGTAAATACATCTGTGTCATAGAAATGGTGAGAAAGTTAGAGATTTTAGTCTCGCAGTAAATACATCCATGTCATAGGAATGGTGGGAAAACAGGAGTTGCAGTCTCGCACAAATATGTACATTCATGTCATAGGAATGGTTAGAAAGATAGAGATTTTAGTCTCGCAGTAAATAACTCATGTCACAGGAATAGTAAGAAATGCTGGGATTGTTGTCTCACTTTAAAAACATTGAAGTTTGAAGCTTAAAAGGTAAGAAAAGTAGAGATTGTTCTTGCAGTAAAGATTTTTTCTGTGCTATGAGTGGTCAGAAATAGTATATTTTTGTCATAACTACTCCAGTTACAGCAGTTAGATTAAAAAAGTCTAATGCTCATTTATAATGCTGAGATCATCATCATTTTTTCTTTTTTTCTCTCTCACAATAATGAATAATGAGTGTGTTTGGTGTATACCAGGCGCCCTGTTTGCCTACGAGATGCTGTGTGCTATGCTGGGAAAGCTGTTCGAGCCGTATGTGGTGAACATCCTGCCCCATCTCCTGCTCTGCTTTGGTGACAGCAGTCAGTACGTCCGTGAGGTACGTGTCAATGCATTCTATAAAGGATCCCCCCCTACCACTGCCAGAAACTGTAACTAAGTTTTGGAATATGTTTTTTTCCGGCACGACAGTAGCTTTAATAAATCATTTCTGATCAGAAAACCATACCCTTTTATGAGTAAAAATTCCGGGATTCGAACCGTGGACTTGTTATTGTTAGATTGTTATACTGTCTCACCAACAGATTGAGCTAACCAGTTGACAGAAGTGTCCTTTCAACAAATGTGCTACAGTTATATCCAAACAGAAGTAAGGGGAGGTTACTCTATATGGGAAAACACACAGTGCAGAGGGACAGGGATCCTTCAAAAGGCTAAAATTTGACACATTTTATAAGTTAGGGCTTTTCTAGAAATGAACAATATGGGGGCTGCGAAGTGAGGGAGGTTCTTTACATGCTCCACATGGTGCAACATATATAATCCTACATGTAGTTTTTCTTTTGGTTTCTTTCGTGGTAACTGTAGAGAGCCGGGGGGCGGTTAACTAGCTATTCCTGCTATCCTCCCCACTAATCAACTAGACAGTATCAGCAGTGTGTTAGGTTGGCCAACATGTATCTGATGCCAATTTGTTGTTTTTCCCCCAGGCAGCAGACTTTACTGCCAAAGCCGTTATGAAGATGTTAACAGCCCATGGAGTCAAACTTGTGCTCCCCTCGTTATTGAGGGGACTGGAAGAGGACGCCTGGAGAACCAAAGCAGGTGCGTGTGTAGTAAACATATCTTTCGGAATTCCAACAATGGGAACTGGATAAGTTTTCAGGTTCCACTTCTCGGATTAAAAAAAAAAAAAACATACTTCACAAATACTTTTACCTACTGTTTTTATACACTTGTCAGATGGTTCATATAATGGTATACACTTCATATTGTATTATGTTCAGGTATAGTCTTATTTCCTGTAAAAATTCCAAATGTTTTGCCTTAAGGTAACAAGAATATGTTGGGGAAGTTGAATTGTGTCGCTATGATCTCCTCAGATACAATATATGTTATATTACAGTATCAAGAAACTCTGTCATTATTTAACATACTTCCCTATATGATAGACTCTATATTTTATTATAAATATCTAAGCTATTTTGTGATTTTTTAAATGAAGCAAATTTTAATTGCAAAATTGACATTCTGTTTTTGTTTGTATCATTACTGTGTATCGTAGTTTGAGCTATATGTTGGTTTTCTCGTAAGGCAATTTTAGGCTGTACCTATTAATGATAAATTGACCAATCAACCAATCACAGGAGCGGTGGAACTGTTGGGAGCCATGGCTTATTGTGCACCTAAACAGCTGTCTGCCTGCTTGCCAAGCATCGTACCAAAACTGTCCGAAGTTCTCACCGACTCCCACGTCAAAGTCCAGAAAGCGGGAGCTCAGGCTCTACGACAGATCGGGGCCGTCATCAGGAACCCGGAAATCCAGGGTAGGTTATCACAGGTTCCTTTCTTTTAGTTCTCCTGGTTACAGTTAGAGATTGTTACCCAATGTTCCTTATGTATCTCCTGGAAGGAGTTACTAAGTATTACTTGATATATCCTGGTAACAGTCACAGAATGTTACTAGATATCTCCTAGCAACAGTCATATAATGTAACTAGATATATTTTGATAATAGTAACAGAATGTTACTAGATATCTCCTAGCAACAGTCACAGATTGTTACTAGATATATCCTGGCAACAGTCACAAAATGTTACTGGATTTCTCCTAACAACAGTCACAGATTGTCACTAGATATATCCTGGCAACAGTCACAGAATGTTACTGGATTTCTCCTAGCAACAGTCACAGATTGTTACTAGATATCTCCTAGCAACAGTCACAGATTGTTACTAGATATATCCTGGCAAAAGTCACAGAATGTTACTAGATTTATTTTGGCAATAGTAACAGATTTTTATTACGTATCTCCTAGCAACAGTCACAGAATGTTACTCGATATCTCCTAGCAACAATTGCACAATGTAACTAGATATATTTTGGCAATAGTAACAAAATGTCACTAGATATCTCCTAGCAACAGTCACAGATTGTTACTAGATATATCCTGGCAACAATTACAGAATGTTACAAGTTGTTTTTCATTTTACTTGATATATCTCCTTGCAACATTTTATGATATTTTGTGTAGAAGTAAATAACATTAAGTAACTCATAAAGCAAATAGAGGCACAGTACACTATGTCCTAGAACACTGAAAAGGTTCATTTAGCAGGAATGTAAGGTATATGTACAAACTGTCTGGGCAAGAACATTGTTTTCACACAGCAGTGACTCGATGAAACTTGCACATTTACTATGTCCAAGAATCACGACAGTATGGTACAATGCATTGAATGTTTTGTATTTGAACAGAAATTGTACCAAACCTGCTGGACGCGTTACAAGAGCCTTCTAAAAAGACAACGGTGTGTCTACAAACTCTACTGGACACCAAGTTTGTGCATTTCATAGACGCACCTTCCCTGGCTCTCATCATGCCTGTCGTAGAGCGTGCGTTCCAGGACCGCAATACAGAAACCAGGAAAATGGCCGCCCAGATCATCGGCAACATGTACTCTCTTACAGATCAGAAGGTACAGCTAACAATCTTCTGTTATTGCTACCCTGGGAAAGGGACCATGCATGTACCATGTCATCTTTACAGCGAATACTTCTACAAATCAGGCCCCTGGTGTCATAAAGATGACCAAACCTGGGGTTAATGTTAAAAATAGACTGTTATAAAAAGGGTTGTACATATACCATGGGATGAACATTCAAAATAAATAGACTGTTGGAAAGAGGGCCACACGCACAACCCAGGGGTAAATGTTCAAAACAAAATGTAGGAAAGAAGGTAATATCAGGGTGAATGTTCATAGTAGATTGTTGGGAAGATTGCTATAACACAAGGTAAATGTCCCAATATATATTCTGTCGTTAAGGGGACCTTACCTAGAAGGTAACATCAGAATGTACACTATTGCAATACCTAAGACCTAAAATCTGACTTACAGTGTCATAAACAGGGCTGTATCAAGGGGGAGATGTTGGACATAGGCTGTCGTAAAAGTGGCCACACCCTCGCATAAACATTCAACATAGACCGTAAATTTCCAACATTTCCTAGACCGAAATTGAAACAAGATGAAACAAGATTAGCAATATTTTGAGGATTTATATAAAAATTGTAGTTTGTTTTAATATGTCTTTACAGTTTTTAATGTTTGTGATGTGATGAACTGTGCACATATAATCCACACAGAAAATTAATAAATAATGATTACTCCCCAGGACCTTGACCCCTATATAGAGAAGGTGATCCCTGGTCTACAACAATCCCTGTTGGACCCCGTCCCTGAGGTGCGTACCGTGTCCTCGCGTGCGCTTGGAGCCATGGTGAAGGGAATGGGAGGGGCCAAGTTTGACGAGCTACTCAAGTGGCTAATGGACACGCTGAAGTCTGAGAGCAGTTCTGTCGACCGATCGGGAGCAGCACAAGGTATATATAAATATATAATGAAACCTGGCTAATCTGTCACCTTGTGGACATCAACTTAGATAAAATGATACTGTATAATCTTGTCACCACAGTTTCAGATAGAATTCGGTTACTGTCATAGAAATGTTTGCAAAATCGATACAGAAATATGCACATATGAAAATTCAAATTTGAATAATTAATCTAGCTAAGGTCAAGTTCATGCAGGAATGAATTGAGTGGGTCTTGATTTTTTTTAATAAAAAGCAAAGCAAATCATAATTTGTTTCTCATTTGAATTGTGCAAATATCAAAATACTATATAGAAGATGCTGTAACAAGTTACATTTATGTATCAGAATGCAAGCAAGGTGTTCCTTTATATCCTTATAACCTATGTCCGGTGATCCTCCATGTTCTTTTTGAACAGGATCTTCCAAACAAACATTGATCCTCCATGTGTATATTGTGATGTCAGAATAATAGTGTGAGTCATTAAACATGTTAAAATTAATATGTTAATTACTTTTGTAGGTCTGAGTGAAGTTATTGGTGGTCTGGGTTTGGGTGAACTGAAACGACTCATGCCAGGCATCATACAGACAGCAGAGCGAATTGACATCCCGTCCCATGCTCGCGATGGTTACATCATGATGTATATCTACCTACCCTCCGTGTTTGGCAAAGAATTTATGGAATACATAGGACCCATCATCCCCTCTATTCTTCAGGTAAGTTCATGGCCAATCGTCCCTTTCATAACCAATGTGAGCTCATGGCCCATCATCCCTTCCATAACCAATGTGAGTTAATGGCCCATTGTCCCTTCAATGGCCAATGTGAGTTCATGACCCATCGTCCCTTCCATGGCCAATGTGAGTTCCTGGGAGTTCATGGCCCATCGTCCCTCCCATGGCCAATGTGAGTTCATGTTCATGACCCATCTTCCCTTCCATGACCAATGTGAGTTAATGGCCCATTGTCCCTTCCATGGCCAATGTGAGTTCATGACCCATCGTCCCTTCCATAACCAATGTGAGTTAATGGCCCATTGTCCCTTCCATGGCCAATGTGAGTTCCTGGGAGTTCATGGCCCATCGTCCCTCCCATGGCCAATGTGAGTTCATGTTCATGACCCATCGTCCCTTCCATGGCCAATGTGAGTTCATGATCCATCGTCCCTCCATGGCCAATGTGAGTTCATGACCCATTGTCCCTTCCATGGCCAATGTGAGTTCTTGGTAGTTCATGACCCATCGTCCCTTCCATGGCCAATGTGAGTTCATGGCACATCGTCCCTTCCATGGCCAATGTGAGTTCATGGCACATCGTCCCTTCCATGGCCAATGTGAGTTCATGACCCATTGTCCCTTCGATGGCCAATGTGAGTTCTTGGTAGTTCATGACTCATCGTCCCTTCCATGGCCAATGTGAGTTCATGATCCATCGTCCCTCCATGTCCCATGTGAGTTCATGACCCATTGTCCCTTCCATGTCCAATGTGAGTTCATGACCCATCGTCCCTGCCATAACCAATGTGAGTTAATGGCCCATTGTCCCTTCCATGGCCAATGTGAGTTCTTGGTAGTTCATGACTCATCGTCCCTTCCATGGCCAATGTGAGTTCATGGGAGTTGATGGCCCATCGTCCCTTCCATGACAAATGTGAGTTCATGACCCATCGTCCCTTCCATAACCAATGTGAGTTAATGGCCCATTGTCCCTTCCATGGCCAATGTGAGTTCTTGGGAGTTCATGACCCATGGTCCCTTCCATGGCCAATGTGAGTTCATGGGAGTTGATGGCCCATCGTCCCTTCCATGACAAATGTGAGTTCATGACCCATCGTCCCTTCCATGGCCAATGGGAGTTCATGACCCATTGTCCCTTCCATGGCCAATGGGAGTTCTTGGTAGTTCATGACCCATCGTCCCTTCCATGGCCAATGTGAGTTCCTGGGAGTTCATGGCCCATCGTCCCTCCCATGGCCAATGTGAGTTCATGTTCATGACCCATCGTCCCTTCCATGGCCAATGTGAGTTCATGGGAGTTAATGGCCCATCGTCCCTTCCATGACAAATGTGAGTTCATGTTACATCCTCAAAGTAAGTTCACATCCCGTCATCCTGCTGTTCCTTAAGGTGTTGGTTGTCCTTTATAGAGTGAATAATTTGTGAACCGCTTTGAGACAACCAAGGAACTAGGTTGTGATAAAGTGGTATATAAGAACCTCGAATTATTTATACTTATATGTATGTGCAGTTCATTACATTTTTCAGTCAAAGACTCAACTTAATAAAGAAAGCTTGTGTTAATCTTTCACTGAGGGCTCAGACATTCTTCCCTTCATCTTAATAGTACATAGTATATCTAATTGATTCCAGGCATTGGCAGATGAGTCGGAGTATGTGAGAGACACAGCTCTGAGGGCGGGCCAGAGGATCATCAATGTGTACGCAGACACGGCCATAGAACTTTTGTTACCCCAGCTGGAGAAAGGCCTGTTTGATGATAACTGGAGGATCCGATTCTCCTCGGTACAGTTACTGGGTGATCTTCTGTACCGTATCTCAGGTAATACCTTATTCTCAATACAGCTACTACTGTGTATAGTAAAAACAAAGTGTGAAACGACATTGATCACAAGTAGGGCTGACTTTTGAAAATATGTGCAGTTTGAATTAAAACTTGGTGTGTGTAATACATACCTATTGGAGAAAAGTCTACGGGGCATAAAACACTAACAGACTACAGAAATATATTGACATTATTATCAATGTTATTGTTGATTTACTCTGCTTGCAGGTGTCACCGGTAAGATGACAACAGAGACGGCTCATGACGATGACAACTTTGGTACAGAATCATCATCAAAGGTAATGAAGGCCTTGAATAATTTTCTTTGTTTGTATGTATTTATACAACAGTACACAGTGTTACTATTCAAATCATTTTATCGTGTCACTATACATTTCCCAATAGGACTTATTGGGGTTTTATTGAGATGTCATACTTGGTCCCAAATTTTGTGATCGCCCAAAAATGACCATAGGGGGGAAAGCTTTATGTCAAACCTGTAATTGCTCACTCATAGGGGGGGAAGCTTTAGGTCAAACCTGTAATTGCTCACTCATAGGGGGAAAGCTTTATGTCAAACGTGTAATTGCTCACTCATAGGGGGAAAGCTTTATGCCAAACCTGTAATTGCTCACTCATAGGGGGGAAAGCTTTATGTCAAACCTGTAAGTGCTCACCCATAGGGGGGAAAGCTTTATGTCAAACCTGTAATTGCTCCCTCATAGGGGGGAAAGCTTTATGACAAACCTGTAATTGCTCACTCATAGTGGGAAAGCTTTATGACAAACCTGTAATTGCTCTCTCATAGGGGGAAAGCTTTATGACAAACCTGAAATTGCTCACTCATAGGGGGAAAGCTTTATGCCAAACCTGTAATTGCTCACTCATAGGGGGGAAAGCTTTATGTCAAACCTGTAATTGCTCCCTCATAGGGGGAAAGCTTTATGTCAAACCTGTAAGTGCTCCCTCATAGGGGGGAAAGCTTTATGTCAAACCTGTAATTGCTCACTAATAGGGGGAAAGCTTTATGTCAAACCTGTAATTGCTCACTAATAGGGGGAAAGCTTTATGTCAAACCTGTAATTGCTCACGCATAGGGGGGGAAGCTTTAGGTCAAACCTGTAATTGCTCGCTCATAGGGGGAAAGCTTTATGTCAAACCTGTAATTGCTCACTCATACGGGGGGAAGCTTTAGGTCAAACCTGTAATTGCTCACTCATAGGGGGAAAGCTTTATGTCAAACCTGTAATTGCTTTGTTGACCTATTAATAAGTTGATGAAGTGTACTCACAAAATCAACGAAATTGAAAAACCAAAAAAAAATTGGGGATATCACAGTAATGATTATAATTTTCTGATGTCATGAAGCCCATAACTGGAGGCCATATAAATCAGTGTCATGAGATAAAACGTCAAATTTGTTTTCTTAAATATCATCTGATTCTGTGTAACAGAATGTTTTCATTGTGTATTTATTTGGTGGTTTCCATGGTAGCAGTGAAATTAGAAAACAGAGAACAGTAACAAGAAATGATTTCACTCATTTTTGTCTTGCCGCTACTAAGTGGAAACGAGACTTAGGTGTTGCTTTTCCGGCGATGGTGTCAACATTTAGTTTTTGTGTTTAAGTTAGTTTCTCTGAAACTAAAAGTGCTACACCAACCAAACTAGACCATACATGCATCTTAGGTAGCACATCTCAACATCTCAAGCATCAAATGCTGGATGCGGCCTACCTTTCATGGTCCTTTGACTTTGTCAGCATCTCCATCAACATTAAGTTTTTGTGTTTAAGTTAGTTTCTCTGATATGTACATTGATGGTCAAAGCAGGGCATAGGCGTATCAGCCAACTGTAAAATTTTGTACCAGAGAAATGTTTTAAGTTCTGCAGGGCTAATATTTTAGAATAGATGTATTTTAATGTTAAATTCTGATTATTTTGTCAGTTTATCACAGTAACTTCTTGAATAACTTGAAATTGAGCTTTCACACAGAACAAACATATTTGTTTTATTTATGGAGTTATTTTGCATTTTATTTCTGTAATATTTTTAAAAAAATGAAGAAAGAAAATATAACAATTACAAAACAATTTGTCTATTATATTTGACTATATACTGCTACATTTAACTATAATAAGGAAAGAATTAACCTTTTCAACACTGTAAACCATATTGGACTCATCCAGATCAATTTATGGTAGAGGTTATTAAAGTGACATAGGGGTGAAAGGGTTAACAGAGATTTAATTTCACTTCCATTAACAAGTTTGTAACTTTATCTACAGGCCATCATGCGAGCGTTGGGGAAGGAGAGACGAGACCGTGTGTTGGCAGGACTGTACATGGGCCGATCGGACACAGCCATATTGGTGCGACAGTCAGCACTCCACGTGTGGAAGATCATCGTGTCCCATACACCGCAGACCCTCCGTGAGATTCTGCCTGTATTGTTTACCCTCCTACTGGGCTGTCTCGCCAGTACAAGTCACGACAAACGACAGGTGAGTCCGGGCATAACAGCAGAAATAATGGAGGAACGTCTTCTCCCTACGAATTTACTGCGAGTCACACATCGTGAGATACTGTACAGTTCTTAACATTTACCAGATCAGATATTTGTTGTGCTGTTCTTGAAATTAAAATGTGGGCTTTTTCACCAAACACCATTATAAGACAATAGTCCTACCAATAGTCTATCAGAAGAATAACAGATTGGCTGGGTTTGTAATTGGCACGTTTTTATGCAATGAATATAGGAGATACAAAACCCCTGTGAAAAGTGCTATACAATTTATATTTTGGCTTTAAGTGATGTGGATTGTGATTCAAGTATCAGCAAATCTTAGTTAAAGCACATTTGAAAAATGAAACGGGTATCATGTTTGATACATTTTATAGTTTAATTTTCTTTCGTGAATGAGTTGTTTGAAGCACACCTTCGGAAGAAAAAGTGTCCATGACAACAAGTAATTGACAATCTATCACTACTGCTAAAAAAAAATCAGCAATTCTTTTCAGAAATATTCTATTGCACATGGCCATTAGACCAATTTATATATATATAACGTTGTCTGCCTGGTAACAAACCCATCAATATCTATTACAGTTCAGTATAAATGCCAACAAATGCTGCTTTATTGTCCCTTAATAAGCCCACTACCTTACTTTGAGTTAGAGATTATTTCTTTGCCTCCTAGGCTTATTGTAGGATAATTATGGTATGTGAATGTATTTTGAACTCTGTATTCAGGTTGCAGCGCGAACCCTGGGAGACTTGGTGAAGAAGCTAGGAGAGCGAGTGTTACCAGAAATTATTCCCATACTAGAGCGAGGTTTGGGCTCCGAGCGGGCCGACCAGAGACAGGGTGTGTGTATTGGTCTCACAGAGATCATGGCATCCACCAGTAAAGAGCATGTAAGTCTTCTCTCTGAAGATCTGTGTGATTGTGTTCTATTAAATGTTTTATTCTGAATTGTGTATTAAAAAACATTGTGTTGTGTCCAAACAGAAGGAACAAAAGATACTTCAGTAGTCAAAATGTTTCGGACATCAACTATAAATATAACTTTCTAATTAACATTGATTAAAACAAACTATAGAAAAATATGATGAGCCTCAATATGAAATTTGTTTATTAAAGAATCTTACCTAATGCTATTGTGTTCCCAGGTACTTGTGTATGCTGACAGTCTGATTCCAACTGTGCGTCGTGCACTTGTCGATCCCCTTGGCGAGGTCAGGGAGGCTGCTGCCCACACCTTCGACAGTCTCCATGCCAACATTGGGCCCCGTGCCCTGGACGAGATTCTCCCCGACCTCCTTAATAAACTGGTATGGTACCATGGCAGACATATAGTGTTACCCATATTCATTGTGTCCCGTCACATCGGGATTTATTGTCCTGCCTGTGCTGTCATCATTTCTTAGCAGACTTTCCTCAAAGTTCATATAAAAGTATGACTATATCTCAGATAAGTTCATACTTCAGGATCACATTTAATATTTCAGTTGAACTTTGTATTTCAATGATTTCCATAGGAGTTATGTTCCTTTTCTGATCTTCTCCGAAGCACTGAGATAACTTACCTGGAAAGAAGGAATCAACTTAATAAGCATATAAATATATTTTTAGAATCCAAATTTGTTCTCGTGGACTCTTAAAGCAATTTTGTAAATTGATTGACAGCCTGACCCAGAAACTTTATATTAAAGTATAAGGATACCTGAGATAAGATCATATTTCATAGTTTAGCTGTGTGCTTGTGATTGCCTTTTTTTAATTTCAATAATATTCATAGGAGTTGTGTCCCTTATCTGATATCATCATGTAGGTCGGAGATGATTTTCTGGACAGAATGAATTAACATAAGCAGATCAATATATTTTTAGAATTCAAATTTGTTCTGTTGGATTCTTAAAGCAATTTTGTATTTTGATTGCCAGCGTGACCCGGACCTGTCCGACCAGGCATTGGACGGCCTACAGCAAGTGATGACCGTGAAGAGTCGTGTAGTAATGCCTTACCTGGTACCACAAGTGAGTACTTCTGTCAAAACTTTCAAAACTTTCAAAACAAGATGAAAAAATATAAAGCAAGATGAAGACTGCACCATTGGGACCACATCGCTAGAGGTGTAGTTCATTGATATGGTTTTGCCTCATTAGAATGAGATTTTTAATAGTGGTATACATAATTGTACCACACAATTGATTACTATTTATCTTCTCTCAGGTGATTTATATATTTGTGCCATGAACGTTCTTTTTTAACGGCAAAATGGTATGTATTGGAATTACGTAAAAGTGATGAAAATTTCTATTACGTTGAAAAATACAACACCAAGACTAGGATGTAGCGAGTGGTAGGATATTCAGAATTTAAAAGTTCATCTTCTTTCCGATTTATGTATTGGCATGGAAATATTTATGGAAGGGAATAAATATATTGTTCACAAAATATTGAATTCAAAGGAAAACAACGCTATCGTATATCTCTCTTCGTCTGGTTTTGAAAAAGGCCAAAAAGAAGATGTGGCAGTAGAGTAGTCTGAATCGAGTTATGGCCTGTTAGGCCACCTTGCAAATTGAACTTACATAGCTAGTCATGGGCTATTTCCAACTGAAACACAGTTACATGGCATCCCTCCACATAGGAGGTCCTGTGCCTGAGGTACCTGGTCAAGCCTGTTTCTGGTGTCCCACCCTCCTGTTCAGGAGGCCCCCTTCTCGAGGGTTGATGACTTTTGTCTCAGACCTTCCCAGGGGCAGATAGAACAACTAGTGTATTCTGTGTGTTACCCCTAAAGCAAGCCTTACTGCCACACACAATACTTCAGGGGTTGTAGGGTGCTATATATACTACACTTATTCAATAGAATTTTTTTCTTGACTTTTGTCAATTAACATATATAAATGTTTTGCATTTCATAAGAATAAAGTTGAGTTGCATATCAGTTTTCTTGTTGAGTTAATTATGTGTTGTGTTATTTTGTAGATTCTAGTGCATTTCTGGTATTTTTTTCTAGTGAACAAAATAAAGATTTTTAGTATTTTCAGAAAATGCGTTGAAATCTAAAATCAAGGGAGATTACTCTTTCCTATTTTATTTATTATTTTATAGATTTTTTTTTTTAATTTTGACAAATAGCTGAACAATTTTTGCAGGTTTTACTAACAGAAGAGAATACTTTTCAAACGATTGCTTTCAGAATAAGAATTTTAAAAAATGGACATTTCTAAAAATGAAACTGAAAAAGTTGGAGAACTTAAGATTGTTTCAATTACCGTAAAGTATAACATGCATTTTGATTATAATATAGTTTCGCTTTTTGTTCACTGGTAAGGAATTACAGGTTAAACTGTTCCACATATCTATAGTACAGTTAATTTGCCCAGGGTTAGTTATAACAGGTTTACAGTAGGTAAAATAGCTACGTAGTGATTTATGCGAGATTAACCATAAATTTGTGTTTTGCTTTAAAATTGAAAATGTATCACTTTTTCGCCTTTATTCTACTAACCAGTAAACATGTTTATAGACCTAAGCATTTTGCTACACAACCTAAATTTGCTATAGAATTGAATGTTCATGACAGCGTTTTATGCCAGGACATTGTTGTGACTTTGCATAAGAATGTTCATATTTTTTTTTGGTCAGTAATGAGTGTACACCCAAATCAATACATATTTAGGGGTTTTCCTTAATATTCACAATACTATCTCATATAGAGGTAATGTTGGCCGGTTTTGAAAATGACAATTTGTTTATCAATAGCATGGCTGCGTTTTGGTCTGATGAAAGAACCTGAAAATTGACATAAAGAGAAGAAACTATATTTTTCATTAATATAATGCATTTTACTGTTAACTATGCAAGTCCCAAAATATTCTGGCCAAATTGAAGAAAATTACATGAGGTAATAGTTGACACCCTAAATACTCCAGATTTCGCTTGGAAATTCATGTGACCTTGACCTTGTTTTGTAGCTGGTGACCCCTCCCGTGAACACACAAGCTCTGTCCCTATTGTCGTCTGTGGCTGGCGATTCCCTCACTAAACACCTTCCCAGGATTCTACCTGCCCTGATGGACACGCTCAGTGAAAAGGCTGGCACCCCAGAAGAAGCCCAGGTGAGTCAAAGTTTTGAAAGTCCCTATAGTTATATCCCAAGGAACGCTGAATTCCAGATGAAGACCAGGTAACTACAAGGTCTAGGGACTTTGTAGTTACCAGGGCTCGTATTCATGAAACCGTTTTCATGCTCAAGCATGGATTTTGTGCTCTAGCTTAATTTCTTGTCCTGGTTATAAATTCATAAACAAATCATATTTTGCCAAAGATTTGGGGGAAAAATTGAAGAAACTTGATCCGGAATACTGTTTTCAAGGTTTGCATTTGACATTTTGATCGTTTGACATGATTTAAGCGAGTTACAAGAAAGTTGGTTTGAACACAGAATCTATGCTTGAGCATGAGAACGGTTTCATGAACACTGGCCCAGGTAACTACAAAGTCTTGGGACTCTCAAAAGCGACACCCCAAACAATGCTCTTGGCACACAATGCATAGGTAGGTTCAAGCCTTTTTCAGTCCCTGCAGTGACATGCCAATGTGCTCAGAAGTCTCGTCTCCAATATATTTGCTGTATAAATGTAAAAACAAATCTTTCCATTCCAAAAATCACTCCAGTAGGTGAGGACTAGGACATTGTTATGATCTACCTATGATGTTATATGGGTGATATATTGAAAATTGATGTGATCATGTGTTATTTCATTAAAGGATCGTTTAAGTCGAGATATAACACATGATGACATCCTGTACTTAGAAAGTCAATACAGATAATACAAAATGGTTGAAGTGGTAAAGGCATCTGACATTCTGCTACCACTAGCCCTCCACCACTGGGTCGCGGGTTCGAGACCTACGTGGGGCAGTTGCCAGGTACTGGCCGTAGGTCGGTGGGGGGTTACGGGAGCTCCAGCTTTCCTCCACCACCAAAACCTGGCACGTCCTTAAATGGCCATAGCTGTTAATAGGATGTAAAAACTGAAGTAAAAATTTCATCATATTTAAATTGTGTTAAGCTTATGAGCGCAAACTCTACTTCCTAGTTGTGTAATACTCCTTCCCCTATTGATGATGAGTTCAAAGGGTTCATGGTGTAGTTAGAGGCAGAACTAGACTTTTACCTGTTTAGCTATAGTATACCTTGATTCAACCTTTCTGTAAACGTAGTCGGGGAATAAGTCTGTTTCAGAAAGGGGTGGTTTATGAAAGTAGCAATAAGTGCGAGGACATTAAATGTCATTACTCACTGTTTATGGGTGAATTCTGGGGAAAATAAGTCCCAAATCTCTTAAATTTTTGGGGGAAAATAAGTCCCAATCTCTTAAATTTTTGGGGGGAAAATGAGTCCCAATCTCTTAAATTTCTTTCAGCTTGGAAATTTGTTAAATAATTCCCTCAAACCTGAGCAATTTTCTTCCTATATTTAAGAAATTAAATTTTCATGTTCTGTGGAATCAAAATCTTTGTAAGATATACAAAATCACAAAAATTACAGATGTGAGGTTATTAACCGTTAGGAAGGTATGATTCAGTGTTAATCTCATGAAATAGAGTTAAACACTTTGAATTTATTTATTGAGATGAAAATTCCCCGCATTTCCCCTCAATCACAAGAAAGGTAAATTCACTCAAGACTTTGATTGGTCATGAATTTTCCATTCTTCCACTTAATTATTGACATAATTATATTTATATTTTGGCAACTGATTAATCTGTAAAGAATATAAGCAATTAAACGTGTGGGTTTTTTCTTGGGAGCTTTTGAGGCCGATAATTGGCTCCATTACCAATTGAAACTATTTCAAATATATGCCTAATTCCCAAAATTTGCTGTTTACTCCTGAAAATTTTCTTTCCAATTGGTTAAAAAAGATCCCATTCCAAATTTATGAGAGAGCAAACACTAATGGGGTAAACTAATTCAAAGTGTTAAAGTGACCTCGGTAAAAATAACAAAAGATGTTTAAACAAATAATGTTGGAATTAAAATATTAGTGATGTGTACAGGAACTAGAGTACTGTCGGAGCGTGGTGTTGTCCGTCCAGGATGACAGGGGCGTGCGTACCATCATGGAGGAACTATTGGCTGCCATCAAGAACCCATCGCCGGACCTCTGCTGTGCAGCTGTCGTCATTCTACAGGCATTCTGTGACAAGACACAGACAGATTACTCAGACTACCGGACAGATCTGTTCCGCGGTCTTATTGCGTCGTTTGTGCGGAAAGAAAGTAAAGTGTTACTGGCCAGCTGGGAGTGTCTCAATACAGTCACCAAGGTAATGCAAGCAACTTCCTCACAAATATGTTTTTAAGCAAAAAATGCATCGGGTATTAATTAACAGCTTGTATGATGAATGTACAATAATTTATAACATAACTTAAGCCACAAAACATTTATGACAAAAAAGTCGAGGGATCTTCACATTGAAATCAAATAGAAATTGATTCATTATCAAATCAATGTTTTTCACATTGAAATCAAATAGAAAATGATTCATTACCAAATTAATATTATTCACATTGAAATCAAATGGAAATTGATTCATTACGAAAGTTTTTACATTAAAATCAAAGAATGATTAAGGCACTAGACATGGATTTCTTTCTAATCTCTCAAACTATTTACTACAAAAAGCAGATTTGACTTGTGTACTTTTTTTCAGAAACTGGACGTATCTGAGATGCTACAACACATCCAAGACATCAGGACCGCCATCAAGTTAGCCGCCGCCGAGTTAAAGGGAGCTAAGGAGCTGCCAGGGTTCAGCATTCCAAAGAAGGTACTTAACCCTTTCACCACTGTAGACCATAATGGGCTCATCTAGATCAATACATGGTAGGGTCTACTAAAATCCACATCATACCTCAGACTACTTAAAGTGGACTGGGATTTCTTAATTTTCTAACTTTATACAGAGTAGCAGAGAAGACACATATCAAATATCAAAATTCAATTTCAGGCTGATAGGAACTATCCTATGAAAATCCGTTATACCTCAGACTCCACATCATACCTCAGACTCCACATCATGACTACTTAAAGTGTGTTGGGATTTCTAATTTTCTAACTTTATACAGAGTAGCAGAGAAGACACATATCAAATATTAAAATTCAATTTCAGGCTGATAGGAACTATTCTATCATTCTGTGTCAGCTACAGACCATATTAGTGACTTCTATTTGAACAGACCAAATTACTGTTTTACTGGCCAACTTTTGTGAAACTACATATGCGATGTTTAAGAAAAAGGTGATTTGAACAGGCCAAAAACAGAACTGAACCAGTCATTTTGGCCTGCTCTGGCTGTCTGTTCTTAATGAATACCAGAGCATACTTCGACCCTAGTTACATCACACAAAGCTGTCATCTGTCCTCCCACATAGAAACTGCTCACACTACAATTATCACTTCACTCACACCTTCTCTGCCACAGCTATCAACACCATCTCCGCCACAGCACTAACCAAGCAATAATAATAATAATTTGAGGTTATTATTGCTTGGTTAGTCACAACCTAGTTCGTAGGTCGTCTCAAAGCGGTTCACACATTATCATCCGTGGTTATAGGGCCTTTGCAACCAGCCAATACCTTTCTCAACTCCCTGGGGAGCATACAGCCGGAGCTGCCATTTCGGCGCTAACAGTTAGCATTCAACAAATCTAGCACTGCCCCACCACATACTCATTTACAGCTGAATAGACTGGAACAAGCGGAGTAAAGTATCTTGCTCAAAGATACAACACAGTGCCGTGCCGTGACTCGAACATGCAATCTTCCGTCACGAGCCCGGTGTCCTACCACTAGACTACCTTTCAATAACTATAGAACGGACACTCAATACAAAGTCCACTTCCCACCCCTTTGAAGCACTATCACAATGCCCACATGATCTCCATAGCAACAACATATTCATGGTGTAATTACTTATGACCAAGACATGCACAATACAGTGAAATCACTCACCTTCACAGGGTTTTTAACCCTTTCACCCCTAGGTAGCTTTAGTGGACTCTACCATGCATTTATTAGGATGAGTCCATTAGGGTCTACAGTGGTGAAAGGGTTAATTACGTTGATATTGTGGGTAACCTACTAACCTTTATCCAAGAACTCGTATCTGATTTCACAGTACATATTTATTACTCTACATAGATCCAACATCTTGTACATAAAACATGATCTCTATTCCCAAACCATCTCCATAGCAATGGCACATCCTTGTGCAGTTAAATATAACCCACAACCTGCACAATCATACATCTACAGTTGGTCAAGGAAATTCATTTTTGAGTAACTGAGGTGTTTAAGAATGGATTGAGAGATTTAGTTTCAGTAATAATCTGTTGTCTCTCTTTGGATTCCCAATATGTAATCTCTGACAAGGAATGGTTAAACAAACATCACAATCTTTTCAAGAAATACCATAACTATAGCAAACTAATTTCTTACCTATGATATTATATAAGGATTGACCTTCATTTTGATGGCGTATACGGTAATATGAATGCAATTGGTAAGGAACATATTCTATGGTGCACATTACTAATTTACTAAGAAGGGAGAGATGTAAATATATAAATATGTTGACTGTATTTTCTGATGATGTAGAGGATTTTCACTATGTCTATTATACATTCCAGGGTATTGCACCTGTGCTGCCTATTTTCCGGGAGGGCATGTTGAACGGGTCACAGGATGTAAAGGCCGTAGCCGCCAATGGACTTGGCGAGCTGATCCATCTGACTAGTCCTGAAGCTCTGAAACCATCCGTTGTCAATATCACCGGACCCCTTATCCGTATCCTTGGTGACCGCTTCTCTGCACAGGTCAAGGTCGCCGTCCTGGAAACGTTGACCTTACTACTTGCCAAGGTCGGTGAATGATTACACACTACATTTGACCTATTAAGAACATCCCTCCCCTTACAGTGGTGACCGCCCTAGATATCATTTCTGGTCTGAGCATCCCATTCCTTTAGTAGAATCTGCATTTATTCTGCTTTTCCCACAATTGCTAAATGCTAAAGTTTCGAGGTCAAATTTTGTGAATGAAAGATGCACAGAGTATTTAACTTCCTGAAATAGAGTGTAATATAACTATTAAAACAAAGTTATTTTTTCAGTGATTCAAAATTTCAACATTCAAAATCAGAAAACCTGCTTGAACAGAATCTATGAGATGTACTGAAAGAAAAATGATATTTAATGTGATAAATATCATATTTCCCTATCCCTATTGAATTACTAATCGTGTTATTTTCCTGTCTACATTAAATTATCTATAGTGTTGTTTCCCTATTCCTTATGAATTACACATAGTGCTGTTTAACTGTCTCTGTGGAGTTACATATGTTTGTGTTCAATTATATGCCGTATTACATGACACTTTCCCTCAGTCAAATTTTCTCACTGATAAAAATCCATATTCACTCAAATTTGATGTCGCCCTTCACATCTTATGGCTATGTATAGTATGTTGTGTATTAAGATTCACTATCGAATAATTTGCCCTCATTACGGAAAACGGCGAAAATTGAACTGTGGTGAATTTCCTAACATACATTATCATGTTGTTTCCTTGTACAGTATGAATCCTATATTGCATTGTTTCTATATCCAGGTTGGCCTGCAGTTGAAGCCATTCCTGCCCCAGCTACAGACAACGTTTTTGAAGGCACTGAATGACCCCCAGCGCGCTGTACGCCTGAAGGCGGCATCTGCACTAGGTCGACTAATTGTGATACATGTACGAGTGGACCCACTGTTTACAGAGCTCCATACCGGCATAAGGAACACCTCCGACTCATCCATCAAGTAAAGATTAATTTCTTTTCCTCGTGGGGACGTTTTATTTTAATATAGATGATGCCCTAGAAATTATCAACCCTTATTTGTAGTCTGTTAACAACCATTCCCGATTTGAGAAAATTATTTTCTGCCAGTTTTATCTTCACACAATTTTATTGTCTTGCTGCCACGAAGTAGCGGAAGTGAGACTTAGGTGTTGCTGTGACTGCGGCGGCGGGGGCGTCAACATTAAGTTTTTGCATTTCAGTTAGTTTCTCTGAAACTATAAGTGCCAGACCAACCAAACTTGCACCATAGATGATGCATCTTGGGTAGTACATCTCAACCCATTCATCAAATGCTGGATGCGGGCTACCTTTCATGGTCCATTGACTTTGTCAGCATCTCCATCAACATTAAGTTTTTGCATTTAAGTTAGTTTCTCTGAAAAATATAAGTGCTAGACCAACAAAACTTGACATGTGCGTTGATGGTCAAAGCAGAGGCACAGCGAGACATATCAATCCGACTGGCTTGTTTAGATGATGGGGGGAGTGAGGATGAACGCAAAAATGTTGACCGTTTCCATTTGGTCCCATCCTGTTCAGGTTTACAGCCATTGCTCTAGTTTCTTCATTTCTTAACAAATATTGATTACATTTTAGACAAAGGTCAAGTAGGATCAGTTTGCATTTTAGGGTGCCAATTCAATAGCATCCTAATAAGTTTCACCTATCCTTCTGTTGCAAGCATCCCACCTCACACCCAGAGTTACTGAATTACTTGAAAAAAAGTCTGTTTTTGGTAATATTTTGGAGAATTTCGGAAGGTTTTGCAAACACAGTACAATCTTAAAAAGGTTATTCAGAAGCAAACAAAAGATTTCTGTCAGATTATCTTTCATACATTTTAAATCGTCTACACAGGAGTTGTAACATGTGCTGCCGTCTGTGTGTTGTAGAGACACGATGCTACAGGCACTGCGATTCTGTGTGAGTGGGGCAGGACAGAAGATGGCCGAGCCACTGAGGAAACAGATCACAGCCACATTACTGGAGCTACTCGGCTCGCAGGAGGATGCCACCCGTGCAGTAGCCGCTGGTTGCCTCGGCGCCCTGTGTACAGCTCTCTCAGAGGCAGAACTTCAAGACACACTCATACAACACCTACTAGGTACTTGTAGAATAATCAGAAATTCTCGGTGATTTTTAGGAATTACTATACTCTAAAAAAAAAACTGATTTTGGAAATAAGTTTTATTAAGAATTGGGTAAAGAACAACGAATAAAAGTAAGGAAATATCTATAGTCCCTATATACCAGCCAACCACAAAAATGTTCATCAACAATATGGTTTGTAAATCTCAAATCATGGAAGGATGTAAATATCCACAACTGTATAATGTTCAGTAGTGATACAGTACAACATTGTACCACTTTATAGTTAAATTTTGAACAGCACAAGGAATGGTTATTAATCAAACATATACTGTATAGTGAAAAATTGTTCAGATCAATGTTATGTACAGTATGTGGGAAAAAATGTGCTTCACATGAAAGTTTAGAGCGCTATTTATCATAGAATTATTAATAAGAGGAGTGAAAAATTGTTTAGATTAATGTCATGTACAGTATGTGGGAAAAAATGTGCTTCACATGAAAGTTTAGAGCACTATTTATGAGAGGAGTGAAAACAATTGTATAGTTCAATGTCATGTATGTACAGTATATGTTTAGAGCATTATGATGCTGTATTGACAGACTCTGACCCAAGTCAGGACTGGATGTTGAGACAGGGTCGGAGTATGGCCCTAGGGGTGGCCTTGAAGGAAGCCCCGAGCAAGCTGACCGGCACTGGACTAGAAGCAAGCATAGGGGACTACATTACAGAACTGGCCACCTCTGATAGGGTGAGTAGTGGAGAACAGGTCCGTAAGGGTGAGTAGTGGAGAACGGGTCCGTAATGTTAGTAGTGAAGAACGGGTCCGTAATGTTAGTAGTGGAGAACGGGTCCGAAATGTTAGAAGTGGAGAACGGGTCCGTAATGTTAGTAGTGGAGAACGGGTCCGTAAGGGTGCGTAGTAAAGAACGGGTCCGTAATGTTAGTAGTGGAGAACGGGTCCGTAATGTAAGTAGTGGAGAACGGGTCCGCACTGTTAGTAGTGGAGAACGGGCCCGTAATGTTAGTAGTGGAAAACGGGTCCGTAATGTTAGGAGTGGAGCACGGGTCCGTAAGGTTAGTAGTGGAGAACGGTTCCGTAATGTTAGTAGTGGGGAATGGGACTGTAATGTTAGGAGTGGAGAACGGGTCTGTAATGTTAGTGGTGGGGAACGGGTCTGTAATGTTAGAAGTGGAGAACGGGTCTGTAATGTTAGAAGTGGAGAACGGGTCCGCAATGTTAGTAGTGGAGAACCAGTCCGTAATGTTAGTGGTGGAGAATGGGTCCGTAATGTTAGGAGTGGAGCACGGGTCCGTAAGGTTAGTAGGGGAGAACGGGTCCGTAATGTGAGTAGTGGAGAACAGGTCCGTAAGGGTGAGTAGTAAAGAACGGGTCCGTAATGTCAGTAGTGGAGAACGTGTCCGTAAGGTTAGTAGTGGAGAACGGGGCTGTAATGTTAGTAGTGGAGCACGGGTCTGTAATGTTAGAAGTGGAGAACGGGGCTGTGATGTTAGTAGTGGAGAACGTGTCCGTAATGTTAGTAGTGAAGAACAGGTCTGTAATGTTAGTAGTGCAGAACGGGTCCGCAATGTTAGTAGTGGAGAACCGGTCTGTAATGTTAGTAGTGGGGAATGGGACTGTAATGTTAGGAGTGGAGAACGGGTCTGTAACGTTAGTAGTGGAGAACGGGTCCGCAATGTTAGTAGTGGAGAACAGGTCTGTAATGTTAGTAGTGCAGAACGGGTCCGCAATGTTAGTAGTGGAGAACGTGTCCGTAAGGTTAGTAGTGGAGAACGGTTCTGTAATGTTAGTAGTGGAGGGGGGGTCTGTAATGTTAGTAGGGGAGAACGAGTCCATAATGTTAGTAGCTGGCTTTGTAAATGTAACTGTACAAGAGTGTACTACAGCTATAAAATATACAGTATCACCTGTTATCTGGTATTGTGTAATGTTAGTAGTGGAGAATGGGGCTGTAATGTTAGTAGTGGAGAACGGGTCTGTAATGTTAGTAGTGGAGAACGAGTCCATAATGTTAGTAGCTGGCTTTGTAAATGTAACTGTACAAGAGTGTACTACAGCTATAAAGTATACAGTATCACCTGCTATCTGGTATTATTAGGATACAGAAAAGTAGGGTTAGTCGAATAAATGTTTGAGTGTCTGATTGGATATTATTTTACCTCACCTTTATAACAGCATGTCTGATTGGCTAATATTAATCACATGACGGGGCAATAAAACATCATGTCGCCCTTACATGCTCGAGTCTCCCTGATCATATTTCCCTTAATCGGAACCTCTCTAGAAAAAAATGGGCAAGAGCCAACACAGCAGAGTTCTGAATGACTGAAGCAGACGAGAATAATGGCACCTCAACCTGACGCTCTGTGTTTTTGTTTTATTTTGTTTAATTGAATATTTCTTTCCTTTTTGGTAGAGAAACACAATTCTTTGTTTACCTCAAGATAAATCATGTTTCGTGAGAGTGAAAGGCCTCATCAAACATTATTAATGTAGGGGTGGGGAAGAATCATGTTTCCCTGCAACAAGGGAAACAAATGTATGATATAAACCTGTTGTTTTTTCTATATATTACATTGTATAATGTTTTCTGTATATTGTGCTGTATCCTATATACCTGTTGTTTTCTGTTCACAGATTCCTCTGTGTATTAGTGGCTATCGATGTATGGGGTTCCTACTGAATTATCAACTAGCTAACAGTGATGGAAATGTACCCGCATTAGTGATCACCCTCCTCAAGGTCAGTCTGATAACAAAAATTGCCATCACTTCAATTGTAGGGGAGCAACTTTTGGAGTTGCGCCTGAACAAGCTCTGCTGTATTCTTGTTTCCTTGCTACAACCCTTAACCATTTCACCAATGTAGACCATAATGAACTCGTCCATATCAATGCATGGTAGAGTCTACTAAAGTTACATATGGGTGAAAGGGTTAATATTTGTGATTTTATATTTGTTTTCACAAAGCAAACAGATTGAGAACATATTTAGAATTAATGAAATGTTTTTAAGTCCATGAATATTTAAATTTAAAAAATCTCAGGAAATCTAACCACTATGCAGTATAGTGATAAGGAGGTTCGTGCGATCATGTTAACGAGTTTGATCAATTAACATGGTGAATTTGAAAAGATGCAACTATAGAGTCATTGAAGTATGACCTGTGGATTTACTTTCAAGCTGATTAAAATTGTGAATGGATCCCTCTGGATACTAGAATTGCCACTGGATCACACTGGAAAGAGTCGTAGCCCCACTTTATATAATTGAATTTATATAATCTGAAATTATTTAACAGTTTATACATTATACCATAAATAAAACAACACTATGTTGTTGATACAGTCTAAAATTATTTAGACATTTTTTACTATAAATGCAACAAAATTAATTTCAAATTGTACATAAATGAAACATCATGTTGCTTAACCCATTCACCCCCTTAAGTCACATTTGAACCTTACCAATTCAAAGACTGGGTAAGTCCATATTAACAATGTAGGGGTGAATGAGTGTACTATCTGATACAAAGGCTTAAAGCGACATCCACCACAACATGTTATACTAGAACAATTTTAATGGTATTGTTTATATAGAGACAGATCTTGGTGAAAGTATTGGTTGTCAGAGTCATGTCGAGAGACATATGTTTGTATGTGTAATATATTAACATAAAAATCGGTCAGAGAGATACCTTCGTAAATCCCCAGTGTTGTTGAATCGATGACCATTGGTTCACCTTCCATTTTTGCGTCCACAGGGTTTGAAGAATGATTCGAACGACGTGAAGCAACTGGTGACGCAAGTCATTTCATTCCTGATCCACAGTCTCCAGGGGGGACAATCACTTCAGCTGGTCAAATGTCTGACCGGCCCACTAGTCATGGGTGCAAAGGAAAAGAATACTTCCGTCAGATCTAATAGCGAATATGCCCTAGTTGCTCTTCTCAAGCTTCGTAAGGGAGATGCTTTCTTGAACGTAAGTATAAGTATTTCTGATTTCTGATCTATTTTGTACTATGTTTTTCAAACCTTGTAAGCAGTAAAATATGAAATTGTAATTACCAATTTGTATAAAAAAATATATTTGAATATTTTGAAGCTCATTGTCTACAAAATTATATTTTGTTCTTGAAATGGAATTTTTATGCCACTGCAACCAAGATTTGCTTTTCCCATCCATCCACACGACATCATGCTTTGATTTTAACCTTTTTATTTTAATATTAGAAGTTAAACAATCATCAAACAAAATGTAGGTACACTCATGATACATACTACACCATTATATCAAATGTAGGTCACTGTGATATATATTTTTCGCTTCATTAACTTAGTTAGAAATTGCATTAAGCACTATTTCTTTGGTAAATAAACTATGTGTTAAGCTCTATTTCTTAGTTGAGATTTTTAATTTAGCACCATTTAGATTACAATTTGAATTTTAGCACAATTTAGATTAAGATTTGAATTTTAGCACAATTTAGATTAAAATTTGAATGTAGCACTATTTCTTTGGTCAATAGACTTTTTGTGTTAAGCTCCATTTCTTTGTTGAGATTTTAAAATTTAGCACCATTAAGATTAAAGTTTGAATTTAGCACCATTTAGATTAAAATTTGAATTTAGCACTATCTCTTTGGTCAATAGACATTTTGTGTTAAGCTCCATTTCTTTGTTGAGATATTAAATTTAGCACTATTTCTTTGTTTAATAGACTTTGTGTTCAGCTATACATGTATTTCTTTTGTTCAGATTTTGAATTTAGCACCATATCTTTGATGAGAATTAACATTTAGCACCATTTCTTTGGTCAAACTTTGCATTGATATCTGTCAAAGTGGGAGGAGTCTGTTGGGCAATATTTTTTAGATTTTATTATTATGATCAGTGTGTCTTTGAAGTCCTATTCTCACTCATTGCAGGAGATAACGCCGCTATTAGATGCAGGCATGAGGGACTCGCTGTCGGAACTCATCACTAAGACTTTATTGAAATTAAGCAAACAAGTGGAACCCCTCCCGGACAACATTGACGATACTGTCCTCAAATGATTCCACTTCCGTGATATTAATTTAATTTCTTTTTTCTGTAACTTTATTGCAAAGTGCTATCCGATCATTAGGAGGAGCGGAGCTTTGGACAATGGCAGAGGGATTCTGTCATCGTGTGCTATAGATTCAAACTCAACCAATGGCGGCGACTGACAACTGACGAGGCATATTGAGGGCGTGTATGATCTCTGTCCTAATTAATGAGAATCGGAAACGTCAAGTTAATTGGTATCAAAGGCATAAAATAAAGTACAGTTCTTTCAAAAATCGTTTATGATTTAAATTCAACAGACAAGAAATCAAGTTATGTGTATATGATTTAATGAAGTGGAATTCTTTTCACAATGAAGTGATTGTGTCCAGGAAAATCATTGGACTTATCTGGAGGTATACTTCGTCATTGATGTTCTACATCTTGTCATCAAATTTTACTGAAATGTTGATATGAAAAATTACAAATGTATACCAGGTATAATTTTGGTTTAATTTCTCTTTTTTTTTCTTTTTCTTTTACCGATTGAGTAAAAAACATTCAGTGTGAACGGTGTTCCTGTTTCAGGTCAGTCGAACTACAAGTGTATATTCACCAGCAGGCTTTGATTAGACACCGGACCGGTATGATGTTGAAGTTTCAGAGGCAAAATCATAACAATTTTATGGGGTCACAATAAATTCTTATAACGAAGGATACCCGTATCATCAATATTTCAAACATGTAGGTTCTTGCTTAACTAAATTCTATTTTCAAAGTTTAAAATACATTATGCTGCTATTATAAAAATTGATAAAAGAAACAATTGTTTCCAAATTAATTCTTGTACAGAATCACAGGATATACTTAACGCTACCTATTAGACAAAATAAGTGTATTTGGATATATTTGTATCTAAAATTTAAGCATCAAGTAAAATGTAAGGACGTCTACTAAATTCAAAAGTCAAAAACTAGGGTAAAATATTGGGAGTCTCCATAATATAATTTATAATAATATACAATATTCATTAGCACCCTGAAGCACTTGTGTGTTATTTAAATAAGGCATATAAAACTACACTGCACAATTTACATGTTCTGTCTTCAGGGGAACAAAGGAGATGGTCGTTGGTACATAACTTTATGAAATGGTGACTTTCTATTTTCCGTCCAAAGTAGGGGGGCTTGACAAGCATGTTACACATGATACGTGTGCTTGCATAGGGGATGTGTTTAATTGTTTTACAGAACTCTTCACTCTGAAATGATAGACCTCTTTATAAAAACCAAATAACAAGTATCGCAACTAAGTACTAAGTATGTTTCTTTACTGTTGATTTTTGTCTGGAACAAAGTTTGAATATATATATACAGAAAAGATAACTGTGCTGATTGGCTAACATGGACACAGTCAGAAGCTATGCTGATTGGCTAACATGGACACAAAGTCAGAAGCTATGCTGATTGGCTAACATGGACACTGTCAGAAGCTATGCTGATTGGCTAACATGGACACATAGTCAGAAGCTATGCTGATTGGCTAACATGGACACATAGATCTTTTATAATTAACGCCAAATCAGGCCCATTTGATATTGATCTGTGATTGTGTAATGCATGGTGCGTTTGGTTGGGTTTGAATTTATATACAAAAGTGACAGATTTCATACAAAAGACTTGAATGCAGTGATGAGATATTAAAGGAAAAGCTAAACAATGTAAAGTTCTGTATGCCAGTAGATAATCACACAGATAAAGTGTGATATCAGTAAGTACCAGCCGTACTGGTACAGGCTAAAGATGGGATATCTGAAAGATACTGGTACAGGCTAAAGATGGGATATCTGAAAGATACTGGTACAGGCTAAAGATGGGATATCTGAAAGATACTGGTACAGGCTAAAGATGGGATATCTGAAAGATACTGGTACAGGCTAAAGATGGGATATCTGAAAGATACTGGTACAGGCTAAAGATGGGATATCTGAAAGATACTGGTACAGGCTAAAGATGGGATATCTGAAAGATACTGGTACAGGCTAAAGATGGGATATCTGAAAGATACTGGTACAGGCTAAAGATGGGATATCTGAAAGATACTGGTACAGGCTAAAGATGGGATATCTGAAAGATACTGGTACAGGCTAAAGATGGGATATCTGAAAGATACTGGTACAGGCTAAAGATGGGATATCTGAAAGATACTGGTACAGGCTAAAGATGGGATATCTGAAAGATACTGGTACAGGCTAAAGATGGGATATCTGAAAGATACTGGTACAGGCTAAAGATGGGATATCTGAAAGATACTGGTACAGGCTAAAGATGGGATATCTGAAGGTACCAGCAATACTGGTACAGGCTAAGGATGGGATATCTGAAGGTACCAGCGATAACGGTACAGGCTAAAGATGGGATATCTTAAGGGCTTGGTACCAGTGCAAAGTGATAGCTGAAATGTTAAAAATAGTCTCATATACAGAAGAATGTTTTGGTTTTACATTAATTAAAAACTGAGCTTGACTTTCAAAACTGATTTTGTGTTGTTTTGATTATATTTTATGCCTCTGCTATAAAAAGGGAGGGGGGCATATAGTGTTGCCCAAGTGTCCTGTCCCGTCCCGTCCCGTTGCAATTCAATGTAAACACTTAGCAACTTCATTCTTTGATGGATTTTTATCTACAAATGTCAAAAGTATGTAAATTCATCAAATGAATTCATGTTTAGGACTCCAAGGTCAAGGTCGAGGTCACTATTGCTAGTAATAAAAAATCAACTAATTCAGTGTCTTTAGTTAGCCAACTTTATATTCTGATGGATTTTGATCAAATTTTATTCAAAGGTCAAGTATGAAAATACCACTGACATTTTTGTGTTTTAGTGTTCTAAGGTCAAGGCCAAGGTCACTGTTGCTATATATAGAAAGTCATCAAAGGATTCAGTGTCATCACTCTAGCTACTTCATTTCTTAACCGACTTTGGCAAAGTTTATACAGATTTCAGTTATTAGAATATCTCAGATGAGTTCATGTCTTAAAAAACATGTACATATTTCAGGGTGTCAAGATCAAATTTATTTATAGAACATTATCATACACTGAAACTAATTTCATGTGGCGCCAGGGGCATTCATGGCTGAGACATTTTATAGTTTTAAGAAAAAGACATTGATGATTCCACATTAAACAGTTTTGTGGTAAGACAAAACAGTGTTTAGGGTTCAAGTTGGACATCAGATTGACCTGGTAGGTCGAATATTTTTTCATAAAATCAACCAAATTCTGGCATTCTTTAGATTTTAGCTCACCTAGTCTGAAGGACAATGGTGAACTTATGCCATACCGCAGCATCTGTCGTCTGTCCGTCCGCCAACTTTTCCTTTAAAACTCTACTTGTCCTGAGCGACCAAGTAGATTTTGACCAAATTTGGTCAGAAGCATCCTTGGGAGAAGGGGCACAAATTTTGTATAAATGGTGGGGCTGAGGGGAAATATAGCAAATTCTTTAAAAACTTTCTTCTTCATTTAATAATAAAACCATATACACATAGTAATTGCATGTAAGAGTTATCATTCTTGAAAAGCTTAACAGTAGTGAAATAGGTAGCCAGTTTCCTGAAGTACAGAAAAATGGACACATGTGACTCATTGATAAAAAACAACTGAATTAATGCCTGAATTGCTTTGAAATACTTTAATATTGAAAAACATACTGTTCTGTCAATAATAAACATACAATATTCATCTGTTTACATTGTAATATTAAACATTAGAATATGCAGAAATTGTGATACTGTCTCCCTACATTGGATTTTCAACTAGGGATGTACTTCCTATTTCTGTTTATCAATACACTCCTATGACCTTCAATATTCTTAGCTGTTGATATGGCATTAAACTCTGTAAAACACAAACCAAACCAATCAATATAATGTGACATAACTTGTTAGTGAATGTAATACGACCTTAGTTTATAAATTTTAAAGTGAAATGAGATAATGTCACCTTATTAGTGTTTCAGTCCAAACGTGTGACATTTCTTCTAGTCATAGGAATACGACATCGGCTGTTTGCTGTACCCGGGTGACCTTATATGTGGAGGTCTTTGGTCCATACTTCATCTGCTCACCTCCCTCACTTCTGAACAGATTTCAACCAAAGTTTAGTGTTAGAATCATTCCTAGGGTCATGACGGATGAGTAAAATAAAGGGATTAATAAAATCTACTACCTGTAAGTAACTGAGCCAGATCAGTTATCAAGGGCTAGAAGTGTAACATAATCCAAACCCAGGCTGTTACTTAGATAACCTGATCTTGCTCCGTTACAGGTAATTAATTTTTGCTTCAGCATAAAAAAAACTTCTCCTAAACTACTTGGCAGATTTCACCAAATTGTAATGGTAGCATACAAAGCCAGGAATGAGGAATAAAAACTTGTAACTTGTCACCACTGTAGACCATAATGGACTCATCCATATAAATACATGGTAGAGTCTACTAAAGTTACATAGGGGTGACTGAATTATATCTCCAAAACCATTGAGCATATTGTAACCATTTGAAGTTGAATCTTGCTTGGACACTTGAAATAAAATATTATACAAATGAAGGAGTGACTGATTTGCATTTAAAGACATGTCCCAAACAACTGAGTAAATATCAACCAATTTGCTTTGAATTAGAATTAGTATCAAATTACTGGATCTGAAAGCTAGGGATCAAACTTGCTGATTTGCTTTCAGTGAATTCTCAACACTACTTGGCAGATTTCAGTCAAATTGACCGGGTAGCTTGCTTGGGGCGTGGGTATCAAAAACTATTTACACAAAAGAAGGAGCTTACCCTACTTGGAGCGAGGGATGGAGATAAAGGTGTCTATGTGGCTGATTTGCTGTTAAAGACAGATTGTAGTGGTACCATGCTAAGCCCATTGGGATCGAAAGTCATAGAAATAATAGGTCTGGCCCTCCTGTGGGGTTACAGGAGTCTGGACGGGGCAAAAAATGGAAAGCTTATTGATTTTTTTTAAAGGACATAGAGTTCCAAAATACTGAGCGGATTTCAACCAAAAAAAGCAGTGGTAGTAAACATAACCCATAAGTATTAACTCATTCACCCCTGAAGACACATTTGAACTCTTCCAATTCAACGGTTGGTATAGTCCATTACGAAATGTCAGGGGTGATTGAGTTAAACATTGTAGACATTAACTCATTCACCCCTAAAATTTCATAATGAACTATTCCAACCTTTGAATTGGAACAGTTCAAATGTGTCTTCAAGGGTGAATGAATTAAAAGGCTGACCCTTCTTGCGGTTGAGGGGCTGGATAAAGGAATCAAAGTGACTGATTGCATCAAATGACTTCTCCCTCCAGATTACTGGGCAGTTTTCAACCAAATGATAATGACAGCACGTTTAACCCCAGGGGATCACTTCAAGTGGAATGGTCTGTTCTCTGAGCTATCCTCTGAAATTACTTGTCAGGTTCAAGTTAAGTTCGAAATAGTCAGATGCGATTTAAGTCCATTTGGGCATCTTGTTAAGTCGATGCGAGGTAACATTGGTTGCTTCAATCGAATGTGACGGTTTTCTAGTCATTGCCAGGTTACCCTTGATTGAGCAAATCCAAGGTGGCATTTCTTAATTCAGTGTGACGTTGCATATTGTTTGACAAAAATGTATCGTCTTACTGAACATGGAGTAACTGAACCATATACTGCCCTTACTGTAGGGAAGCACGATTCTTTGTTTCTCCGAGGTTGATCCGTGTTTCGCAAGGTCGAAGCCCGAATAAAACATGATTAATCAAGGAGAAACAAAGAATCGTGATTCCCTACAGCAACGGCAATAAATAGTTTACTTTGCCAAGAGAGAGAAAAACAGGTTGACGCGCCATTGGTGTCGTCTGCTTCCTCCGTCTAGAACTATTTTGTAGTGACTACTGGCAACTCTTCCAATTAAATTCTACATAAATGTCGTCCACCAGGAATTCAATCATTCTCTCGATTGCATTTCAGTGTGTTTCATCTTGGTCTTTTAAATAAATGTGCTCAAAAGTTGTCTGCAACCATTTAAATATATAACGCCTTCCGCCATATTCCCGGTCGAGAAAACTCTCGCAATAAGAGAACAACGGTTTTCCTCGAGTTTGTATAAAGGTGTACTGTGAAACAAATACGGTTGAAACCATGATTTGGGGTACTAACAACGGTAGCAAAAAGTTTGGAAACTGGGTTGGTTTAGTAAGATAAACGTAACACACAGGTGAGTGTACCTTTAGAAAATAGTTAAAGATACATAACACGGTAGTCTAGTGGTTTGGTTTGGTTTAGTATTGTTTAACGTCCTATCAACAGCTATGGTCATTTAAGGACGGCCTCTCCTGTGTGCAAGATGCATGCGTGTAGTGTATGTGTGTGTGTGTTCGCGTTTGTCTCCTTGTGATAGCGCGGAACTGATGCCGACTTTATAGTGATACCTCACTGAAACATACTGCCGCAGACACCCAACAGGACAATCCAACCGGTCACATTATACTGACAACAGGCGAACCAGTCGTCTCACTCCTAAATTGCTGAACGTTAAGAAGGAGTAGAAACTACCATTTTTACAGACTCTGGTTTGTCTCGGCCAGGGGACGAAACCCAAAGCCTTCCTCACAGGAGCGAACGCTCATTTGTAGGCCAAAAGTGAGGCATTGTCAAGGGAGACATTAGAAAGAAGAAAGTTGTTTAGAAAGAAGAGAAAAAAGATAAGATCCAAAATTTAGTCGCCTCTCGCGGTCATGCAACGGTGGCAGCAGGTACAATTCTTACGCCCTACCCGTAGGGACTACAGACGTCAGTATGCAAAGAATGAAATACACTGCATCATACAGCTGTTTCGTTCTTCTAGAACTCATCGGTGATGCTAGTGGCCGAAAAATTGGAAATCCAAATTTGTCTAAACTACTGTTAACTAGGAGAATCTGCGGTAGAATGTTGAAAAAATCCAAAACAAACGAAGCAGGTCCATAGGAATGAATAACTAGTATTTCGCCTTTCGAAAGCTTGTGAATGCGGAAATAGGATTTCCCTTTGTTATCAAGCAAGACTAGTTCCTTTTGAAACCAGGACGTGTTTGCAGACGAGGATCAAGTATACAGGGATGTGTAAGTTCGTGTTTCAAATGATAGTGTGAGTCTTCGATATTTTCGACCATTCGTGAAAAATCTGTCGTAGATTTACGTTAAGAGCAATACTCATGTCACTTGTTACCATCTGTCTGTCTAGAGATGCACGAGATTTCTGGTAACGTTTGCTTGTAGTTGAAAAACTTTGAAGCAGTGGGTTTAGAATAACTGAAAGAAATAATTTTAGTTTTTCTATCTAAAGTACACAGCAGTGTGTTAGGTTATATAGGGACTTAGTGGTTTAGGATATCACTGTGTTCCCACGTTGGCATGTCTCTAAAACAACACCTTCAAGACATAGCACTATCGAATATGTCCTGCGTGAGGATAACCAAATCCGGAAGTTACGGAAACCCGTTTC